GCCCATCAGCTTTGGCTTCTTCCCTTCTGCCCCAGGTAGAGGATCCTTGCCCAGGCCCTGGGGTCAGGAAGGAGAGTGTTCTGTCCCTCCCTGGAGGCAGATGAAGGTCCCTTTCACTCTTCCCATCCTCCCAGGGCGTGTGCTGGCTGCTTCCTCTCCCTAGGAGGGATATTACGTGGTGCCAGGGAGGGTCCCAGGCAGTCCAGTGTTTCACACCTGTCAACCCTCTGAGCCAGTCGCCTCCTACCCGTCTGAGCCGCTAGGGCAACTGACGGCCTCTGATACCCGAGCGCCCAGCTGAGCCCGTGGAGAAGATCTTAGAGGTGAGTGAAGCTCACCGTGCTCTGGGCCCCCGGCTGTTCTAACCTGCTGCTCCAGCTCACATTGGCATTTAGGAGCTACGGCAATTTTGTCTGTTTTTTTCTTACCCTCTTTTATGGCAGTCCCCGCTCTCTCCATGCCCTGTCGACGGTGAAACCATTAGTACATCCTGTCTCTTCATGGAGGGGCTCTTTGCTCTTTGGAGTTCCCTCGATTGCTTTACAACCTGACAATTTAATGTTATGTTCCTCCAGGGAGAATTTCCTTTTGCTTTTGAAAGGTATTAGTGTAGGGAAGGTCACCCGAATCCAGCACGGAGTGGATTTGTTTGAAGCTCACCCTCAGTCTTTGTAAGGGATAGGCCGCTCCTAGGTCATCCTTAGTCTAAGGGGTAGGCCCAGGTGGTTCTTGCTGAGCCGACACCATCATTAGATCATTTCCCCCTTGGCAGCCTCTGAACTCCACTTTCCCCCTCCAGCCCTATAAGTACCAAAAGCTCTCCATAGCCTCTCAGTATTTCAGCCACTAGTTTATTTAGACAAATCCTGTTGGGGAAAATACAACAATTCCCCCTCACCACTAACCCCAGCCACCGTCATCAAAAACAGTGCTCAGCTAGACCCTTTGGGCTTTTCTTGGGACTCCCCGTCTTTGAGGTGCTGCATGTTTTCCCCACCTTTTCCAATTGCCCCTGGTGGGACAACTAGAATATATATACTTGTCTGTAGTTGCTGGGGGCCAGGGTCTTATAAATAACAGTCTTTAAGAATAAAGAATCCTTCTGACTCTTTGAAGCACACTTCTTAAGCTGTATCCTGCTCTCCAACTTGGACTTCCTTCCGACTTTGTTATGCAGGGTTTTAGCCTCAGGGGTGGATGAGTCCCCCAAGCGGTGGTGATAGAATGCCTTTGACAGCTGCCTCCCACTAATCTTGATCCTTCTGAAGGGGATCTATTCATAGCAAGAGTAGGCAGACAGGTGATCCCAGGTCGGATCCAGCGCCTTCAGCGGGAGGAGCGTTTACACTCCTGAGCCCCGTCCTCTCTGCCAGCCTGTCCCACAGGGTCCTGGACAGGTCAGGTGCAGGTATAGGGAAGAGAGGGATTTTGAGCAGAGCCGCCTGTTTTACACTTCATTCTCCCTGTTGGATTGAACACGCAATGGCCTGCGCTTGTTTTTCGTGTTTATTCTAGTTGGTTGGGAAGTTCCCGTAAGTATTCTTGCTGTGTCACACTACAACGGAGACAGCGCTGAGGGTCGCTGCAGATAGTTCCGCAGGTAAGAAGACATACCTGGGGGGGACGAACTTAGTAGAAGGAAGGGTAGGCTGCAGATGCCAGGATTTCAGAGGATTAAGCCAGTGTCTTGGTCTGAGATAGCAGGTAAGACTGGATGGAAAAATCTAAATGTAGAATCAGAGCAGACAAGGCGGAGACCAAGATGTAGGTAATGGGCCAGACACGTCCTTTCACTGTGTTGGGGATTTTACACAGTAAACAGAAGCATTACCGACTTGAGGCAGAAGAGCGCAGAAATGAACATTTTGGGATCTGGTACAAACAGCTCCACATAAAATTGCAACCAGAAAGCTTTCAGCACTTGCAGTTCCAGGCCAGGGACCGCCCGCCTGTGTTTTGGTTTTAATTCTTGTAATTATGTTACGATGGGATGACTGGCAGCAACGACCAGCTTCTCAGAATGAGAGCAGGGTTCTACTTTATTTTCTTAAAATTGGTTTATCCCTAGGTAGCCCTAACCATCCTAACAAAGAATTAGAAAGCATTCGTGAGAAGGCTGAGGGGCAACAAAAGGGAAACATTGGACTCGTGGGAAGGGTCACATGAGATGCGCCCATACATCGTCCCGGTGTGAAAAGACTCATCTTAAATATTTCTCAATGATTAATTGTTAGAGACCGAAAGAAAAACAGGAGATAACTCAGATTCTTTAGCTAATTTTTAAAATGCCCCTTCTTCTGTGACTCCTCTGCTGCAGGACGTAGATTGCCGTAACACTATAAACCTTATCAATCCTGCCTGACTCCTGGCCACTGGCCCCCTTCCCCCGTGTAGGTGCCGTGAGATCGCTGAGTGGGTCCGCTCCTCCCCACGGAGCGTGGGTGCCTCCTGGCGCGGCCGGGCGGTGCTCAGTATTACTAGGGGCAAGGTATCGGTCGCGGTGGTCAGGAAAACACTGTGTCACGGACCCTCCGGAGCCCAGCAGAATGTAACAGCCGGCATTTGTTATGCTCGCAGTGTAACCCCAGGGCTTGCTTAGCCGAGTGGCCCCGCTTCCCCCTGGAGGTCCGTGATTGGCCTGTGGCAGCTCTGCCCCTTGTGTCTCATCCTTGGACCAGCGAGGTAGCCGTGGAACGTTCTTCTCATGCCCGTGGCAGGGGCACGAGGGTGGGAGTGGACACAGGCCGCATAGCCAGGGCTTGGGCCTGGAGCACTCCGACCTCTGCCCGCATGTCACCAGGCAAAACAAGTCCAAAGGCAACAAGCAGGGACAGTCGGCCCCGATGCGGCCGTGACAAACATAGATGCAGGCGTGTGAATGCGAAGGTCAGGGCCAGCAGCCTCAGATTGAACTTGTGCAAGAAACGGGCACAAGGCCAATCTAAGCTGTTTCTTAGAATGAAAACTGAACAAACCGTTGGATGGAGCATCCTCAGGTGCTGTGCAGGAGCTGTCATTGTTTTATTTACTTTTTCTTAGTTAAATACATACAAGCTTCCACTTTCCCGTTTAGCATTGTTTTTAGACACCGTTATCCGTGGTTATTAAAACTGATCCGGCTGCCTCCTGCCCTGGCCGCCTTCCTCAGGCAGCGTTGCCGACGCTGCTTGGTTGAATCAATTGTTGTCACTTCAGGTGCTGTCTCGGATGCCGGGTTCCCACTTGCCTTGATTAAAGTAGAAACAGCCCATGGCTTGGATGGCTTACATTTCAAATTGGTTTGAGCAAGATGATTGGTATGAAGGACTGCAAAGAGTAAGCTACATTTATGTTGAACTTAAAATTCTCTGTATTTTTTCTTCTCCTGCAGCTGTGTTACAGTGTCATTTATGTTGTACATATTTTTGCATTGTGAAATTCTGAGTGTAAATGAGATGTTTATTTGATATTTAAAAGCAGAAGTAAGAAGATACTATACACAGATAGTCATAATTATACATTGAAGAAAAGGAATTTTTTCTGTCCTGGTTTTAGATGAATTCATAGTGTTTTCAGATTGTCTTAGGCTTTTAATGCAAAGTGGGACAAAAGTAGGTTTACAGGTGTGAGTACATGAAACACAGAGTATATGCTTGTATTATTATTTATTTATTGTATTATTTTTCATACAAACAGCTGTAAACCTACTTTGCCCCACACTGTATAAACTAGAATTCTTTCTAGTGAGATTAATGTATAAAAATAGCAATAATTTCAACAGTCATTTTACATAAAGAAAAACATTTAATGAAATAGATGTGAATAATAATACTATGTATCATAAGAATATTATGATACAAGGAAATGCAAACATTTTTGGAAGAAGAGGGCCGTGTTCCATTTGATAAATTTTCAGGCAATTAATTACATTTCAAAAGGATTTGCATTGTTACTATGGCAACTTCTGCATAGTATTTTGAAAGTAGCTATTCTGAACCTATTACTGTAATGGTACAAGCCTGCTGTTTGAAAATGCACCTTATCGAAATGGATGTAGTTTAGAATAATATATGATTTCTGTTTGGCATTTTTTACCTTTTTAATGGATGAACTCTAAATTATTTAAATGAAGGCAATCTGTGGATTTTTTTCATTAATGAGTGGGACAAAAGACTCAGAACATCTTCCCTCGTCTCCCGTTGCTGTTGGAGGGCGTGGGCTACGGAGACGCCCAGCCTGGCCACTCCTTCGCCTCAGCCCTTCAGCTTCCATTCGCATCTCACTCGTAGACATAATCCCTCAGTATTTTAGTTCTTGTTGACTATCTCTTTCATTGTGAATCCTCAGCAGTTTAAAGCCTCTTGCCTCTTTTTGAGATTTTTTTTCTTCTTCAGCTGTGAATCAAGCTGGTAAACAGCTCTGGAGCCAGTTAATACCTGACCCTGGAGAAAAGCCCTCCCATTGTGAATCCTTAGCATTCTGCAGGAAAGAGCTGGAGAGATCCTGGGTAGCTTTCCATCTGAATTCCAGCCCTACCCATAACTGATGAAATGCTCCAGCTTACGGGTTTCAGATGGCACTCCCGCCCCCCGGACACACACACTGCAGTGCCAGCATCCTTGTACTGTGTGTGTGCATTTTAAATGTATTAAGTGTGTTTCTGATGTTGGAGCAGGAGGCTTTGTTTCAGTGCAACCCATGTATTTCTCAGTTGGAGGGGGTAGGGACAATGGTCTAATTTGGGGGGAAATGGGTGACTGATTCTAAGAAAATGCTTTTTTACTAAAATTGTGTGTTCCTTTATAGTGACTGTGGGGCAGCTCGTGGAGACTATGAGGATTCAAAGTCCTTCCATCCAGCCTCACTCCAGTCTGCCCTTTGTGAATACCATGGGCCTTTATAGGTGAATTGCTGCTTCTGAGCCGTTTCAGAATAGCAGCTGTTCCAGGCATAGTGTGACCCTCAGAGTACTGTACTGTCTGCATGAGCTTGAGCTTCTTCTGGCTCAAGGTTTGGTCAGTTCTTATACAGGCTTAGATGAGAAGGAAAGATTCTACTCCAAATAGTGAAATTGGCACATGAATTTCTCTAAAACTCCAGCTTACTGTTTTTAGGTGATGTGTATGTGCATAAAAACACCATATAATCAGCATTCAGCATAGCAAACTTGTCAGTAGTTTATGTTTTAATTGTTCACAGAAAGAGATAAGATGGATTTTTGAGTTAAAAATTGTAATGTAGACATGTGGTGTTTGAAAATCACATACAGGTTTGATCTTTTGAGCATGAAATTGGCCCTTGTACATTGATATAATTCATATTTATGGCATATGCACCTATTTCTACAGACATAGACACATATGTGAACTTGATTTGAACAGTTTTAATAGTTTTATTTTTGGCAGAGTTGTAACTATATAGCTATATTTCAAATTATGTTATGATTTCATAACACAATCTCTCATTTTCAAAAGTAAGCTCTCTCATAGTAAATAAATTTAATGAAAATATACTCATCACTTTTTTTACATTTCATACACTTGCTATGCAAAGCATCTTCACCACAATTATAATGTGCGTGTGTGCGCATGTGAATAAATGTGTATGTGTCTGAGTGTATGGGTGTGTGTGTGTGTGAGTGAATGTGTGAGTGTGTGAGTATGTGTGTGTGTGTGTATGAGTATGTGTGTGAGTGAATGTGTGTGTGTGTGAGTGAATGTGTGAGTGTGTGTGTATATGAGCATTTGTGTGAGTGAATGTGTGTGTGAGTATATGTGCGTGTGTGTATGTGTGAGTGTACGTGTGAGTGTGTATGAGTGTGGGTGAATGTGTGAGAGAGTGTGAGTGTGTGTATGTGTGAAACTAAACATTGTATTCAGGCTAGAAAAATAAGAACCATAGCTCTTCAGGGTGCAGTTGCCAGGCTACTGACTCTGTCGGCTGCATGTGGCTGACAGAATGCTCTGGCTTTCTTCCCGAATCCTCCACATCTGCATTACTCAGTGAACTACAGGACCTGGTATTTCATCTTTAATGTGTATGTGTCGTTTCTGGGCCAAAAAGATAATATATTCCGAAGCAACAAATCTTTAGAATGGACATGGAATTTCTTAAGTTGTTCTCATAAAAAATGAAACATATTATAGAGATAAAAAAGGACATATAATATTTATCTAAAACACATAATTACCCGTCACCTAATTTAAAATAGATTTACTTAGCTATATATGTGACATTTTGTAGGATTAATATTTAAAATACAAATGTATATTTTGGAATCTACCTCAGCCGAACATTGTCTCCTTTCAGTGATGCAGACTGGTTTGTGTGTAACAATTCATGCTGATACAGAGGCAGCAAAAGCCCCTGGACGCTTCTCTTCACCTCCTCAGTACTCTACCTGTCACTTAATAAAGGCTCCATAGTACCATGGACATGCATGTATCTTATAATGCTTTTGAAAAATAATCTAGAAATTTCTAATGCCACCAGATTAAATACATAATTCAGATTTATAAATGTAATAGTATTCATATTTAATAATACATGATTTTTAAATATTTCATTCCAAATGTTAGATTTTGAAATAAAATGCCATTTTGTTTTGTCCTATTTATTGTTTTAATGGCTAGTTTGGACAAGTTTTCAACTCTGAATTTAAAAGGACTTAAGTTGTTGGACTGTAAGATTAAAGGGCATACAAATTATGGGATAAAATTGAAATGTTTCTGTTATCTAAATATGAAAAATAAAAAGTAGTAAATCAAGGTACACTGATAGTTAAAGTAAAATGTATTGGCATGGATTTCAAAGTCATTTATTTGTTTTTAATACATAAAACATTAGCCGAGGGACTTCTAGTTTCCAGTCTGATGTGCAAGGAGCTTAGAAGTCTCCACTTGGGCCTAAAACAATAAAAAGATGGAAAACTGGAAAGTCAACAACTCTTCTCATATCCTCAAGAGAAGTGAGGTCACAGGACAAACTGCTGCCGCAAAACTGGAGCAAAAGACAAGCCGATGCAGAGAATCACATCTCACTGGGGCAGACACCTCTGTGGGGACCAGAGCAGAGTGTAGTGAGTCTAAATTCAGAACTGCAGGGTGGCCCCTGCTTCTGTGAGTTTCACCTCCAGGGCCTCTACCAGGTCCTCACAGGGACTATCATAAAAGCCCTCCATGCTTCTGGCAGGCGGAGAGGAGAAGGAACCACTGAAATACACCAGAGCATTCTCTTCTCCTTAACCAGGCTGCCCTCAGGAGAAGCTTTTCTGCCAGAGCCTAACCTGGTGGGATTGTATCAGAACCTCACTCACCTGGGGGAAGGGATGTACCCTCTAGCCATCCTGTCTCACCTTAGGGGGGAACCTCCAGAATCATTGGTGAGGTTCACGTTCCACAGGCACCAACGCACCAGAAGACAGAGACCTGACCATCAGACTAAGAACACTTCCTCTCCTCCTGCACCTCACCAGCATGTGCTGAAGGCTGTTTGCCCAGTACATGCTCCCCTTTAAATGAAAAGTTACAAGGCACACTAAAAGGCACAGAACAGCTCAAAGAGGTTAAACAAGCCTCAGAACCAGAGTCAGATATGACAGAGATGTTGGAATTATCCAACCAAGATTTTAGAAGCTATGATTAATAGACAGAAGATTGATTGCAAGAACAGATGGATAATTTAGGTGGAGAGATGGAAATTCTGAGAAAGAATAAAAATGAAATGCTAAAGACCAGAAACACTGTAACAGAAATGAAGAGTGCTTGTGGTGAGTTCATTAGTAGACTGGACACGGCTGAGGAGAGAATCTCTGAGCTTGAGAATATGACAACAGAAACTTGCAAATTAAAAGCAAAGAAAAAAAAAGAATGAAAAAAATAAATTATCCAAAAGCAGTGGTATGTCTACAAAAGGTGTAGTATACACATAATAGAAATACCAGAAGAAGAAGAAAGGAAAGAACAGAAGCAAGAATTGAAGCAAAAATAATTAGAATTTTCCCAAATTAATATCAGGCATCAAACTGCAGACCCAGGAAGCTTAGAAAACACCAAGCACAGTCAATGCCAAAGAAAACCCATCTAGGCAAATCATATTTAAACTGGAGAAAATCAAACACAAGGAGAAAATCTTGAAAGAACCTGAAGGAAATAAACACCCTACATATAGAGGGGGAAGGATAAGAATTATATCTGACTTCTCAGAAACCATGCAAACAAGAAGAGAGTGGAGTGAAATATTTGAAATGTTGAGAAAAATACAACACTAATCTAGGAATATTTATACCCTGCAAAATTACCCTTAGAAAGTGAAGGAGAAATACAGCCTTTCTCAGACCAACAGAAAGTTGGCAGTTTGTTGCCAGTGTACCCGCCTGGCAGGAAACATTGTAAGGTCTCCAGAGAGAAGGAGAATGACACATGCAGGTCAGAGCGCAGACCTGCGTGAACAAGGGGAGAGTCAGAGAATGGTAAGTGATGGCAAAATAAAAACTTCTATTACTCTTAATTGATCTAACAAATAACATGTTTTTCAAAATGAAAATAGCAATGCATTGATTATGTATGCTCATGTGCAGACACACGTGCACGCTGTGTGCTCATGTTCTTACACGTGAGCTGCGTGACGGCAGTGATGCCGTGGATGGGAGGGAGGCGTAGGGACACTTTACTACAAGGTCCTGCCTCCGCTCCGGAAGTGGGACAGTGTTATTTAGAAGTAGACTGGGATTAGTTGTAAATGTTCAAAGCAAAGTCCAGGACAGCCACTTAATTTTTTTTTAAATGGGATATAATTGATATGCTAAGAGAGAAAAAATGAATCGTATAAAGTGCTGCCTTGAAACCACAAAAGGAAGAAAAAGTGGGGAAGACAAAACAGGAACCAGGAACAGGGGCAGGGCAGCAAAGAAACTGAAAACGTGGGCGACGTTAGCCCAACTGCAGCAGCAGCGACTTGAATGCGCCCCTGAAAGACAGGTCGTCAGAGTGGATCAAATGCAGGACTAACACTCACAGGGTGAGAGTGGAGGGATCGAAGCCGCGCCACGCTGGCACTGATCACGCGGGCGTGGCTCCGTTCACTTCAGACGGCGGCCTCCAGGGCAAGGCGGCTGTCAGAGCAAACCGGAGCCCTGCGGCTGTGCCCACCAGCCTGCTCGCTGCTGCCACGTGAGCAGCTCGTCGTCACGAGTCCCCAGCTTCCTCCTGCCCCCTTCACGGTGAACAACACTGATAGCGCAGCTTGTGTGTCTGTCTCTTGTTAACGCAAGGTTTTCTGTGAGAACACAGAACTGTGTGAAAACGAAGTTCTATAAACGTCACATTCCTCCCAACGTTGGCACGTTGTTTTACATTTGAATTTGCTGCTGTGAACAAATTGGCAGTATTTAAAAATTGATAAATTTTATATTAGAATGTATTTTTGTTTTACATAAAAACCTGAATATTTGTTTCGGAAGTCCCATGCATCTGGCCACACGGCGCGGCCTCCTCCAGTGGGGTGGAGCCTGCAGACAGGACATGCACGTCCTTTCACTCCAGTCCCCACCATGCCTATATGCTTCCCGTCTGTTGGCCAAGTGTCAGCTGTCACTTACCATTTTACAGTCTCTTGCTTCCCTCATTTAAATTGCCTGCCTTGATGTCCATAGACATTTGCGGATTTAAACTCCTGTCCTCTGAAAGTATAAATGGAGATTAATGGTAATAAAAATTTTTTTCCGGGCATAAAGATAAAGATTGAGGAAGATAGATATAAAACAATGAAGAGGAAGTTTATTTAGTAATGAAAATAACTGATATTCCTCCCAATTTGTTTTTCAAGGCAAACATGTCCCGGGTGAGGCAAGTGGGGCTGCTGGCCGCTGGATGTCAGCCGTGGAACAAGGACATGTGTGCTGCCAGCGGGGACAGGTTTGCCTATTGTGCCACGCTGGCCATCTACATTTACCAGGTAAATAATCCCAATTCCTCCCGACTTTTCATTTTATCAGGTGCAATGAATACTTAACTAATAATTATTTTTAAATCCCTGTCACATGAAAAGCTTAACACTGTCATCTTATTGGTATATATTTTATATTTTGTTGCTACTTATATATTAGTTTTTCAAGTCAAACTTTTAGAAAATACATCATAATATTAAATTATTAGCAAAATCTAAAGGAAGCACTGAGACGTTCTATTTATGTATTTCTCTTAGTTGGATCGCCGCTATAATGAATTTAAGCTCCACGCAATCATGTCTGAACACAAAAGGACAATCACAGCTATCTCTTGGTGTCCACATAACCCCGACCTGTTTGCCAGCGGCAGTGCCGATAACTTGGTGATCGTTTGGAACGTCGCAGAGCAAAAAGTCATTGCTAAGCTCAACAACACAAAAGGTATATTCATAACCGGGGTTTATTTTATTGAATGGACCATTTTTATTTCAATAAACAGAATATTTTATTTCAGTTAGCTCAGGTTTTGAAGTAGTCCAGCTTTCTAAGGGTCACCTGTGTGGAAATGCAGCTGACATCCTGACTCGTGTGTGTGCATGTGTGCGAAACAAACAAAGCTTCATGAAAAATTATACTCAGTACACTGATCAATGAAAACATAGTAAATACAAAGCTTCATGAAAAATTATACTCAGTACACTGATCAATGAAAACATAGTAAATACCTAATAATTTTGTTAGTATTTAATATAATGCAAAATTTTTCAAAATAGTAAATAAAAAAATAATAATTAGGTAAGATTTTCTTGAGACAATTTGCCTTTCTTGAAATATTCAGAGAGCCAGCATTCTAATGGCTTCTTCAAGTGCACTCTGGTGGTTTGGTCCCCATAGTAGCTAATCCCTTGTTGGGGAAATTCTATTCTGTTAATGTATCCTAAAATCACATCGGTGCTTTTACTGACCTTATTTATATATTCATTTATTGACTAAAACTTGTCACGTTCCCGTTATATGTCAGGCCCTGAACTAGGCATTAGGTTTCTAGTCTCTGCCTCTTGGGCAGTGTAGACACAAGTTGATTTTGCTGTCAGTAAACAACTTTCGACTCTGTGTCTTTGTTTACAGCATTTTCTCTTCCTGGGGAATAGTGCTCATCTCATAGATTTAAACTCTGCTGCTCCTTAAAGGTCTAATTCCAATCCCACTGCCTTTCCAGCACAGTAGCCCAGTGGTTCAGAAACCCTCCTGTACGTCAGATCACTTGGGGAACCTCATTAGCTAAGGGTCCTGGGCCCTGATTCCACGTGGTCTGATGTGTGTCTTCAGCGCGGTGGTTCTGGGGCAACTGAGTGTGTCTGTGTGGACGCGCCACAGGCCCTGTCCTGCGTCATAAATTTAACGTGACACTTGCTTTGTTTAGGATCTATTTGATTACAGTGACGGTGAGGAGATTTACAATTAACTTGTGTTTTGTCTTGTCGTTTAAAAGGGACTTTTACGCCCATCATTGTATTTTCTTAATGTCCGTGTGAAGTAAGCGGTCAGCTGACTGTAGCTGTGTCGAGTTCATGGGCAGGACACAGGTTCAGGCAGGTGAGGCGACCTGTGTAGGCACCTGAGGGAAGGTGAAGCCTTGAATCTGAACTGCTGAGACACAGGTCGCAGCATCAGCCTCGCTGGTGAGCCCTTGTGGCAGCGTGCACCTTTCCTGCGTTTATCCTGTCTCCCCGGGTTCTGCTTGAGACCCTCTCCAGCAGGAATTGTGCCCCATACCCACCTGTACCCTCCGATGCCTCGCGGGTTTCGGGCACACGGACTCTGAGAGTCCGTTGCTCTAATATGCCTGCATTTTCTAAAAGAAAGAACTCTGCACGTTTCTTTGAGTGTGAAGCCCATGATCGTATTAGTGGCTTTAAAAGTAGGCACTGTTTCTATCATCACAGAAGCACCCTGCACACGTTCCCAGGGCTCGGGGATTACTGTAAAAGTCCAGTTCCCGAGTAAGAAGGTCATATATTGTTAATGACGAACACATTCTTATATGTTGTTGTAGAAACTTACCATGCAAATGTTATTTCGTAGCCGCTTCCTGCCAGAACTCTCTGTTATGAACCCACATTTGCTCTGTCCAGGGATACCCGCCTCTCTCGGCTGGTGCTGGCACGCGGGCGATGTTGTGGCGTTTGCTCCCTGCAAGGGCCCGCTGTTCATCTGGACCATCTCGGGACCTGACAGCGGGGTGATGGTGCACAGGGAGGCCCACAGCTTCCTGTCGGACATCAGCACGTTCAGGTGGCACCCCCAGAAAAAGGGGAAGGTCGTGTTCGGCCACATGGATGGGAGCCTATCAATTTTCCAACCAGGTAAGAATGTAATTAGAGCTCCTGCATTTTATTTTTCTTAGCTTATATCATGTCTTGTTTCCACAGCATAAAGCTAAAGGTAACAGAATTTTAATTTTAAAATAATAGCTGTGCAAATAGTATGCAGCATTGCACTGATTCCAAACAACCATTGGAAATAAATTCGTGTGTAAGGCATTGCAGTGCATTTAACACAGCTGTGCAGATTTTACTCTGATTAACCCAAATCAGTCTTGTGTCCCATGTTTTTACTTTTGTAAGTCAGTTCTCTATTTCTGCACACTTATGAAGAAAACGGCAGGAGTGAGTGAGGACAGAGCTGGAATACACTCAGAAATATCTTCCCACCTGCGTGTAAAACACCTTCGGGTGCCCCAGATCCTCAGCCAAGTCTGTGACCCTGGGGTAGGAAGGAAAAAACTCTTTAGACCCCCATTAGTTCACTAATCTGGCTGAATGAAAGGGTCTGAGAAATAAGTCTGTTTATACAATAACAAAATGTGTAGTAAACAAATTGAAAGATTCCCTGAATAGCTCTCCACTCATCACAAGCCCTGCCAGCGCCTGAGAGCCTGCTGCCAGCGCCCGGGCCTGTCGCTGGTGACCGCTGACCGCTGGCCGCTGGCCGCTGGCCGGGCGGGCGACGCGTTGCAGGGTGGGGGTAACTCCCGTCACGAACATGCTGCCCGCAGCCCCCCTGACGGTGCAGAAGGGAAAGCAGACTGAACTGAGCAGAAAAAGTTGTGAAAATTCAAATAAATCTTTCTCCAGGGAATGATCTTTCTAAAGTTAAAAAAAAAAAGGACATTTAAACATTGATAGAGTTGGGCCATTTTATGTTAAATACGTTGTCAGCGGGATTGTTCACCTTTTTGAGGATGAAAATCGAAGTGCAGGTCAGTGCCGCCTCCTCCTGCTCTGTCCTCACCTGCCTTCCGGCTGCACTGGTGTCTCGGGAACATTTTTGTCGCATTGCTGCAGGTTGGGGTGGGGAGGGGTCAGAGTGCAGTGGGGCGTGGGCTTGTCTCCAGCACCCCCAGCCAGCCCGTCCAGCCTCTGCACTGGGGCGGGTTCCCCCTAGAGCTGGTCACTAGGGCTCCCCGCTAAGCGGCAGAGTCCGCCCACTTCCTCCGTTTTGATCTGATGACTGCAGGTCTCCTCCCTCTTGCAGGAGACCCTGACCTCAAGCTGTCTGCTGTTCAGTTTTATCTGTTTTGGAAGAAGAAGAGAAGGGAAATATTCGTGGAGGACTGCCCATAATAAGGCAGTTCACCCATTATTGTAAATCAGCAATTTTTAAGTTGTACTGATTAGTGTGTTTGTATGTTGTGTGTGTGCTGGGTGGGGGTGGGGGGGCTTGGTGGGTGACCCAGCCGGCTTTACGCCATCTGCTCTATTCAGTCCAAAAAGCACCACTTGGTTCTGTATTAGGTACTGGGTTTCATGTAAAAATCCTCATGCAAAGAGGGTTCCAGGGCCAAAAATGTTGGAAGACTACTGCTTTAACCATTTCAAGTTATATTCTTGGACAGAGAGAATATATATATTTGTGTGTGTGTGTGTATATAATGTTAATCCTCACCTGAGGGTGTTTTTTTCCATTGTTTTTTTTTAGAGAGGGTGGAAGGGAAGGAGGAAGGAGAGGCGAGAGAGAGAGAGAAACACTGATGTGAGAGGGAGACGTTGACTGGTTGCCTCCTGCACACACCGCGATCGGGGCCAGGGAACGAACCTGCCACCCAAGTGCGTGCCCTGGACTGGGAATCGAACCCTTTGGTGCACAGGCCGACGCTCTAACCACGGAGCCACAGCAGCCAGGGCACGAAGAATATTTTCTCTTCATAAGAGCCATATTTTAATGAATTGACTTTGGTATTTTCCCTGGGTGTGCATTAACCAAGTTTGCATCGTTTTATCTTAGAAATTTTGTTGGTAAACTGTCCTTGTGTAACACTGTGTCCCCTTTTGAAAACATGCAGGAGAGAGACGTTGGTTTCTGGTCTCAGCCTGGGAACAGCTGTGCTTCCCATCAGTTCTCTTTTATTTTTATCCCACTGGGCCACCTTTCACGATTCCTCTCCTCTTTGTTTGAGCCACCGGACCTCAAAATCAAGGCTTCCCCGCCCGTTGGGTTACACGCCACCCTCATTATTCTGTTTTTCGCCCCCAGTTCCCTGCCCCAGCTTTTGTTTTTCGCACAGAAGTTGTCACCCTCGTATGCTCCTGTCCTTATCTGACACACAAGGTGCTGCTACTCATACAGAAAAATAGAACATGAATAGCAAAAAAATAAATAACGTAAATTAGTAAGAGTATTACCAGCAGTTATTCTAATGACTGGTAGTAACTGGCTTTAAATTTCATAGATTCATTTTCTATCTTTTATAATAAAAACGTTGGTACCAGATAGAGCAGAAAGCAGTGACTGGAACCCTTCATTCTGACTGTAAGCGTGGGCTTGGAGCAGCGTGATTTAGATACGTAACACTTGCACTGCAGGTTTTACCACGCTTTGTGTTGCTGTGGGTATTTTTTCACATACCGGAATATTTTTAATAAATCATAGATACCAGCTGGCAGGTGCAAATACCTAAAAATTACTCCAGTGCAACATAGGTTAATAAGCCATTTTTCTACCTCTTTCGGCCTTGCAGGGACCCGCTGTATTATTACTCATTACTGTTTGTTAGGTCTAATAGCCACTCAGGAGATGTTTGTTTTGGGGAAAAAGAAGCAGACAAGTTTTCCTTGATGGTTGTTGTAAAAGTTTGACAAATCCAAAGGAAGGAAGGAAAACTCTCATTCACTTCCTATGATTACATATGCACAAATTCTAAATAAAACACTACTAATTAAGCTCAACATTATATTTAAATAATATACTCTGATGAGTCTAATGTCGAGGCAGAAGCTATAAGGTTTTCATTCAGTCCCCTTGTTTCAACTCCCTGTTTTCCTGGAGTCCTGACGACCAGAGGTGTGATGAGTGAGAAGAGTGACAGCCGTTAGCGATACGCTGTTCATGATTCCCCCACTGTTCTAAGCTCTTTCAGCGGCGAATTCATTTAATATTTTTAAAAAACTCTACCAGGTAAGTACCACTCTGTTCTCCATTATAGAAACAGAAACGGAGCCCACGGAGATTGAGTATCGCGTCCAAGAACACAGAGCTCGTGAGTGGGGGAGCTGGGTCGGGGTGGGTCCAGGTGACCCTCCAAGGCCTGTACTTTCAATCACAACGCGACGGGCTCCCTCCTGCTAAGCCTGTTCCGTCCTTGTGCTGCTGTAACTCGGTGAAATTGTAGTTGATGACAGTGTCATGTGTATTATTGATGCCTTTTTCTTAGTTTTTCAGTAACAAATAGGACAAACATTCCAGGTACTAGAAATTGCCAAAGCAAAGGCGTCCAGCCTGACTTTCATCGTCGGCACAGACTAATTCCCTTGCGGTCACATCAGTTGTAACTGATTCTCCTGCAGTCACACATCAAATGCAACTTTTGCAGGAAACGCCAGCCGTCTAGCCTGGTACTTCCAAGGGCCAGTGGTGTGCACGGCGGAAATTACTATCATCTCAGTTATTGACCTTTTTTGGAGAATGTTCTTCGAAATCACTTTCTTATATGTCAACAGGTAACAAGAGTCAGAGGCATATTTTGAGGCCTGACTCCCTGGAAGGGACAGACGAAGAGGACCCCGTCTCGGCCCTGGAGTGGGACCCGCTGTCCGCCGATTACCTCCTCGTAGCCAACGTGCACCACGGGATCCGGCTGGTGGACTCGGAGGCGCTTCACAGCATAACCACCTTCACCTTCCCCAGTGCGGCGGCCTGTGTGCGCTGCGTAGCCTGGGTCCCCAGTGCCCCGGGCATGTTCATAACTGGAGGTGAGTGCACCCGCTCCCCAGCGTCCTCAGCACGGCTGCGCTCTTTCGTTCGGTCGGGCCAGTGATACTCTCTTACTGGTTAATTTTGTGTCAGATTATTAGTATTGCAAGTGCTATCATTTATTATAGGAAACGCCTCGTTTACTTATGTTTATACTGTATATCATCAACATAATGACAAAGAAAAACGAAATTAAGACCCTGTTGTCCAGGATTCTGGTAATAAACTGGATATCATGTGTGCACACACGTGTGCATGTCCATATTTGTATGTGTGCAAGGGACGACGACAGTTCAGCTGCCGGTCACATGGTGGCTCCACGTGTAATCATCTGAGGAACTGCGGACTGTTTTCCAAAGCAGCTTATTCAGGCAGACCTTTTGGAAGGGGGGGCTTTCTGACTGGGCCTCGGGTTTATTCAGCGCCTTGTGGGGCCGCAGGTTAGCCAGGGAGCAGCTTAGGAACATTTCAGGCGAGGCCTGGTGATTTGAGGTGGGTGGGAGGTTCTCGGGCTGGTTTCCTCGAACACGTGGCTCACTGGGGAGCTTTTTTGGGTTCAGATTGTCAAATGACCCTTGTGGGTGAAGGTGCCCTGGAAGGCAGCTTCTCACCCTAGGAAAGGATCCAGAACAGAAAAAAAATGGTCAACGTGTCAGAAATGTAAAAATTGACTAGATTTTAGTGTCTCTTCCATCGTATTTCTGTGTAACCTTACGGGTGAAGAACGCCACTTGGTAGTGCTAAAAATCTTGCAAGTCTAAGCTTTTTTTGTTACTTTTATTCTGGGCATTTTATTTTTCACATAAACTTTGTTAACATGATGCTTGTGTCCTGCCTAGATTCTCAAGTAGGCGTTCTGCGCATTTGGAATGTTTCGAGAACAACACCTATTGATAATTTTAAATTGAAGAAAACGGGATTTCACTGCTTACATGTACTTAGTTCTCCCCCCCAAAAGAAATGTGAGTAAAAATATCATCAGAGTTTAATCTTTTAAAATACAGGGGTTGCTTTCAAATAAAATGACTGATGGAATGATAATGTACATATCACATACCGTGTGCTACTGAAAGCAATTTAAAAATTGCCTTTGACGATATTCGTGCTAAAGGAACCATGGAAGCCACACAAGTTAAGCTTTTCTGTGGAGCCTAATGCTTCTGATTAGGACTCAGAAGTAACATTCTGGAGGCTGAAGCACTATCTGTATATCCTGCAATTTTTTTTGGTAATTATTTGTTTCTTTGTTGAGTTGCTGTGAGCATTCATATTGTGGGATGACTGAAATATCACTGATTTTCTTCTTTTATATATATTTTTCATATTGCAAAAGTAGTTCATGCTCATTAGAGAAAAAGCATAAAATATAAAGAAGCACAAAGTAATCTTGTCATTTTTGAGTAATTCCTTTCAGGTAAGCTATTAGATATCTGGACTTTTACTCCATTTAAAAAAATGTAATAGGAAGTGTGGAATAAGAAAAATTATGTAAAAAATGAAGATTTTAAAATTATAAAAAAAAGATGACTTACAGATAGATAAGTACATAAAGGATGTCAAAACTACCCATAATGTCAATAAAATATTAGAAAAAGGAATCACGGATCATATTAATTTTAACCAAATTGTCAACAAAATTTCATTGAATCAGATGCCTTTTTTGTTATTAGAAGTCCATTCTCGTATGGACTTCCCGTCATCCTCAGATTCTAGAAGCGAGTTTTATCAAATGAATGCCTGAAGGAAACCTTTATTATATTTGGATAAAACAGAGAATATCGGAGAAATACTTACCTGTATTCCAGTATGTAATTAAAGTGGATTGGTCTGATAGTTTACAGTGGTATCATTACTTTGAATTATGTTTGCAAAAGAATGTACATGTTCTAAGGGAAAATTTATTGAAAGGCTACACAATATGAGATAAAAAATAGGCAGAAAATAACTAGACCTGGGGACACTTACGTGATCGAAAGTTGGAGAAATGGAAGCATATGAACAGTAAGAGTAAACCTGAGGAAGAAGAGAGAAAATTGAGATGCAAATGTATTTCAGACAATTATGAGTCTTAATTTGGGTGCTAAATGAAAATGAATGATATAATCTCAAATATAATTATTTTCATTGGATTGGCACTTAGTAGAAGAGAATTATGAGCTTTAGAAGGAAAAATTCACATACCTGTGTGTTTGTGTGTATAGAGGGTCAGAGGGGTGAGTAAGCTAATATATCAAGATTTTGGAAGAAGATTCTAATTAAAAAATAATCATTCTGTGCTTTGATTTATGGGGAGACAGGAAAACAAATATTCACAACATATTGTGATTCCTAACATGCTGATTTTCATCCACTTTGCTCCCCGTGCACTTTTATACACCTCTTTTCTAAATAATATCCAATTTTGTGTATATGTATATATGCAGGGTGGGGCCAGAGTAGGTTTACAGTTGTGAGTATGCGAAACAGAACTTATTCTTGTATTATTATTTATTAATTAATGTAGTGTATTTTCTTTTTTAAAATATATTTTTATTGGTTTCAGAGAGAGGAAGGGAGAGGGAGAGATAGAAACATCAATGATGAGAGAGTCCTTGATCGGCTGCCTTCTGTGTGCCCCCGACTGGGGTTCGAGCCCACAGCGTGGACATGTGCCCTGACCAGGAATAGAGCCATGACCTCCTGGGTCATGGGTCGACGCTCAACCACTGAGCCACGCCTTCCAGGCTACTGAAGTATTTTCCGTGCAAGCAACTGTAAACCTGTGTTGGCCCCACCCTGCACTCTGCAAAAGCTGCAGAAGTTCTCCTGGGGAAGAAGATGTGATTGTCACTCACGGTTCATGGACACAGCTTCTGGGTAAAGGGAAGCGCAGGAGCATCTTTATAAATTACGGCCTGTGGCTTCATCCCAGCATATGGAAAGCTGCTGGCATAAAGGCTTACTTGCTGATCTTTCTCAGTTTCAGTCCGGCCTCCAGCCCCAAACCACTACATGTCCTCCACGAGTGAGGCGGTGCCCCCGCCGGCGCTGTCGCAGAGCCGGGCTTTCTCGCTCCCTCCCGGGCACGCCCTGTGCTGCTTCCTGGACGGAGGCGTGGGACTCTACGACCTGGGCGCCAGGAAGTGGGACTTTCTCAGGGACATGGTAGGTCCTTGGTCTTTCCTTCTTTCACTCACGGCATCCATTCTGTGAAGTGCATGATGCTTGCTTACACTTACTCATTGTTAGAATTTATTTTTGTAAAGAATCACATATCAGGACTTTATCTTGGTTGGCTAAAACATTGTAGAATGATGTATGGAATGATGACAAAACTATTAAAATTCTTTGAATTTTAAACACGAAACTCCTATAAAGATTGATGTCTAGCTAATCGTGGTTGCTCTGCATGGTTGGTAGTGGTCCCGTTGCTGTGTGGACCGTGTCAGTCCTTCGTACAGGATTGGAAACTGCGTTACTGTGCTATGTTCTAGGAGCAAAGAGAGAAACAGAATGACACTCTCGTAAGGAGGAAGGACAAGTCCATCTCTGCCAGTCACTCCGAACTTTGTTGTTCTCATTTGTAAATGAGCAAGGGGGTTGGATTAAGTATTTTTAAGATTTATTTTTATTATCAAATCATTATAATAATTCTGATTCTATCATCTGTTCTTTCTTTAAAAATATGTTTTTATTGATTTCAGAGGGAGAGGAAGGGAGAAGGGGAGAGAGAGAGAGAAACATCAATGATTGGCTGCCTCCTGAGCACAGCCCGGGAATCAAACCTGTGACCTTCCGGTGCACAGGACAGTGCTCAGCCAGCTGAGCCACACCGCCCAGGACAGTGCTTGGCCAACTGAGCCACACCGCCCAGGACAGTGCTCGGCCAACTGAGCCACACCGCCCAGGACAGTGCTCGGCCAACTGAGCCTCACTGCCCAGGCCCTTCTGTATATGATCATCAGAAAAGATACGTATTGAAGTTGAAAGTGAGACTTTTAAATGTCGTCGTACTTAGTTGCTGACTGAAGGACCTGAGGTTGAATAAAATCCAGGTCTTTACAAATCTGTAATGAACAGCTCAGAGACCACGCAACAGCAGTGGTTCAGGTTTGGGGTTTTGTGACTCGCCTTTATATTTTTGCACTCGTTTTTGGAAACCACAGTGCACGGGTCCACTTGATTATACACTACGGTGTGATGTCGGTCACGTGAATTGTCTCAGTAGCTGTGGCTGTGCTTCCATCCTAGGGACATGTGGAGACGATCTTTGACTGCAAATTCAAGCCTGACGACCCCAATCTCCTAGCAACAGCCTCTTTCGATGGCACAATAAAGGTCTGGGATGTGAACACACTGACCGCAGTGCACACGTCCCCGGGGAATGAAGGGGTCATTTATTCCCTTTCCTGGGCTCCAGGTAAGAAGTGTGGCATTAAGTCAGGAGGACAACTGCCCGGCTTTCCTGATGTTTACTTTCATCCGATTGTCTCCTTCCCATCTGTGCCGTCTTGTTCCAAATGCTTGTGGAGGCAGATCAGTAACAGCATATTTGTTGGGTCAGGTTAGGGGGCAGGGGGTCCCGCATAGACTTCCTGCATAGTCACTTTGATTTCTGGGCCCTTTCCTATGACGTGATCATATAGAAAAGCCAAGGTAAATCAGGTGGTGACCATCTAATTTTAGCTGCGTTTGTATAGCTCTGCCTTTAACAGTATAACACGTTTTACATGAAAGCTTTCCTTAAAATTTTCATGTGAATCAAATATATGAAAATTAAGCATTTTTTTGAAAATTATAATACATATCTTTCTCTGATACGGCTGTTTTGTACATATGAATGGTTATAGATCCTCATGGTTCACCTGCGACCATGTGATTAATTCTGTGTGAACTCCACCTCTGTGATTTTGTAGGACTTTTATGCTGTAATAGGGTCTTTTGTTAGATCTCAGAAAGATGTGGCCACCTTCACACTTTCATTTATGGGGGGGTGTCCTTCGGAGCTTCTGACATTTTCTCCCAAAATATTATCTCCCTATAATAAGTAATTATACACACTTAAATGAATTTCACTTTACAAAGTATGTAGAATTCTTATTTGTCTTACTAGTAAAATACTAATTTAAAGCCCACACATAACCAGGATATAGATGTCCGCACTGAAGTGTTTATTGATGGAAGGACGTAATGTCACGGTTGACAGAAAGAAATTCACTGGGAGCTGTAGACAAAACAGGACTGACCACGCTTTGGTAATGGTTGAAGCTGTAGGATGGATACATTCATGCTGTTCTCTCTGTTTGCAAACATTTGATGATTTCCATACGAAAATTTTAAAGAACTACTTTGCAAATCTCAAGTCTTTTTCAAAAATTCCTTTTTTGAAAGCACATTTCTGGCAGCGTCTCATGCAGCGTTTCCGCAGGTGACCTGGACTGCATCGCCGGGGCGACGTCCCAGAAGGGCGCCTTCATCTGGGACGTGGGGAAGGGGAAAGTGGTGCAGCGCTTCAGCGAGGTGAGGGCGCTGCGGTGCTCAGCTTAATGGTCAGTCAGCAGGGGCCGTGACGCTCTGAACTAGAGGGAACCCCGAGGACATGTGGGTGCTGAAATGAACCCTGAGCAACGTAGCTACGTCTTGGGTATGAAAACCCACCTTGGTGGCATTAGGTCCTTGGGATTTTTGAGTCATTCCCCCGGTTATCTTGGTGAACGCTCATTAGTTGGAAGAGACTAAGCTCAGAGCACGTCCCAGGTTTTGGTCCCAGTTCCCGTGCTGGCTCACTCTCGACACAGGGCGGGGGTCGTTTGTCCCCCGCACCAGGCTCTTCACTGAGGCCGGGACGTCGGGTTACATAAGTTCCTAGCTTCCCTTCCAGTTCTTAAACCCTTTATTTATCCCGTGACAAGCCCTGAATCCCCTCCCCTTCCTCGCTGTGTGTCGCAGGCGGGCCTTTTACTTCTGCTGGGAGCCCAGTTGTCATCCATAGTTCACTGAGTGCCACCAACGCTTGGAAAATACTCCCCATCTCCTTTCAGTGTGTCAGGTGCGAGTCACGGGAAATAGGGCAGAAGCTCGGGTTGCCTCTCGCTGTCTTGGAATTTCGTTCATTTCAAATGATGACTGTTAAGTTTGTTAAATGTGTAACTTATATGAACATCGCTTACATATGTGAGGCATTAAAACCATCTATACAAAAGGCTTCTCCCTTTGAGGACCCAGTAGCCCCGATATTCTGGGGTTCTGAAGAAATGGGACCGATGGAGAGTTGGGGAAAGTCCAGCCCCCGTGGGTCAGGAGAGGAACCCCGAGGACTGCTCCCCGCCTCCCCTTTCCCCCCCGTAACAGCAGCACTCTCAGTCCGCCTCCCTCCCCTGAGCACCGACCCCAACAAGCAGTGACGGGGAAGAAGGGAACCTGGAAAAGAAACTTTTGACCTAAATTCAAAACTTTTATCCTTGGGTGTCAGATCTGTCGATCTGTTCTTAAGGCACCTTGTGACCTAAAATATCTTCCCTTCGGCCCCAGAGCCCGCCCCGCCCGTCCCAGCAGCCCTGCGTCTTAGCACTAAGGACGCCTCCGGTATCGGTCCGTCTTTCTGGTTAAGACCAGTATAAAGTTGCTCCAGTCTGGGAGAATGAATGTGGGAGAATTATCAGCTATTAGGCAGCTTGAATTAGCGGTTACAAGGCTCGCACAGAAAATGCAGGGTATTCCAGAGCCCAAGTGCCCTCCACGTGGAAGAGTGCACTCCATGGGATAACAAAGCCGGGGGGCCCCGCTCCTTTGGCTGAAGGAGGGTACAGTAAGGGTGACCTCACTTTTGTATCCATCTTTATAAGCCTCCCCGCCTTGACCTCCAAGGAGGTAAAACAGCAAACTAGAGACCACCGTGGTCCAGCAGCCTTGAAACTCAGGATAAAGAGGCACTTTGCCCTCCCCGTAAGGCGGCCACAATTTAAGTGCCATATAAGATTGAAATATTTTAATCAGATTTGGAAATGGGTTGATTGTGACCTTTATTCACCCTTGACCCAGGTGAGGAGTGACATTCCCAAGAATAACAGATTTCTTGTGTTTTGAAAGTTCTCAGCACAGCAGCTGGGACTCTGTCCCTCTCCCACGGGTGCAGACGAGCAGATGAATGTAGTCATTTGTTGTACAGATGATCTTACATCCGCTCTCCTTTGTGTCTGTGAAAGTAAAACTTTGAAACTGAGAACAATCAGAGGTAACAGTCGCCTGCAGCATTTCCTACGGCATAGTCCTGGCTGCCCTGGGTTAGGGAGCGGCCAGGTAACTTCACCTGCAGCCCCGTGTTTGCAGGAGAAGGCGTCAAGCAGAGCTTAATTCTGCAAATGTCTCGGCAAGTAGATTCTGGCCCTTGACCTGTGTCCACAGAAAAGAGCCAGAAGCCACCCGATTTATGTTCTAAAACGGTGACTTTGTTGGTTACGTGTGACAACTTTACACATTCTTTAAGTATATCTTCAGTTCTCTGCTGTGTGCAGTAACACCTCTGTTAGCATCACCTAAAGCAAGCTCCTCGTAGGAAAATAATACTTAGGAGAAGTAAATAAATAAGAGAAAAAAGGGGTGAATTATTTCCTATTGATAGGTATTTTGCATTTTTTGAAGCACGGAAAAAATGGAATATTCTGCGTTGCCTGGAGTCACAAAGATTCCAAAAGACTAGCAACCTGCGGCGAGGACGGCTTCTGGTGAGTTCTGGGCTGTGCGTGGGATCACACTGCTCACAAAAGAGGCACCAGGCCCTGCCCCTTGTATCCTGTCAGCACGGAGGTTAGCATTTGATGAGATTCCATCTGTGCAGCTCCCCGACTCTCATAATATTCCGTATAAGTCCACACAGGCGTATGCTATACTGCTATGATGTATCAGTAATAAATAATAATGAAATGATCTTCAGAAGTAACTAAAGAAACCAGCAATTGCCTGCGAAGTGAAAACACTGCCTGAGTTATAGCGAAAAGGCTGACTTGCCGCAGAGACTTGCTGGCCTTCTCACAAAGTGTCTGAATGAGTCCCGTCGGGTTTTCGAGGGAGCGGCATTTCACTTCGGAGGGGGTTCGGGAGGCACCAGGGGCTCTGGAAGCGTCTTCACCGCTCTGGAGGAGCTGGTTCTAGGAGCAGCCTTCAGAAGGAGGGCGGCTCGCGTGGGAAACGCCTCTTAAAAAATGGTTCTAATCAGATGATGCCCCCCCTTGGCTAAGGGGCCGCCGTCTTTCACGGTGATACAGACGTTCGTGGCGGTTGGATTATAGTAGTTCGTCTTGCCTGAGGTTTTGCTATCCTCATGCCAGTTTCCTCCCTCTCAAATTTTAATTTCAGTGGAAAAGACAGGACTTATGGAAACCAAAGTCCTTCACCAGGAAATTTAAATTTTCAGAAAAAACAGTACTTAGTGATTTTCCCTTGAAAATAGCTATTTGCAAGTTGATATAAACTAAAATATGAAAAGTGTGCCTAAGCGGTTTTTGATTAGGTGACACTAATTAGCTTTACCGTGTACTTTCTGGGCTCCCCTTATTGATGAATAACCGCAGGCAGCGACTAAACACCTGTTAGCGTGGTCCCCACCCCGCCCGTAGCCTCAGGAGTTTAGGTGGCCTAACGATGTCTTTTCCAAGAACATTTAAAACCCTGTAATACATTGGTTTGTAGACAGCTTATTTTTTTTCTTTCTGAAGGACTCAGTAGCCCTTCCGTTATGGTATCATGGAATAGGTATTAGAGCTTCTTTTATTTTTGCAGTTGAAAGTATATAGGCTCCTTTTAGGGAGAAGGCATCCTTTGAATTTTTAGTTATATCACTTAGAATATGCAGAGAAGTGCTACAACCTACACATCTTGGACTTGGTATGATAGTATGTGTGACCAGCATTATGAACGAGTTGTTTTAAATACAAGTTTTGAAGCTGGATATCTAATGCATATGTTAGTTATATCATTATGATTTAAAATATATGTGTAAACTGTGTTTTTCTTCAATCGAAACAGTTCTATCAGAAATAGGTTCTAAGTCAAGTGTATCACCTTCGAATGGATGCGAAGGGGTTACCGTGATTAATGTGATGCAAATAGGCTCATAATAGGTGATGACGTTTACGGCACTTCCGAATGTTCCCGGGGCTTAGCAGACGAGGCGTTACCCTGACATACTTACATTGGACTTACACAGTCCTTTGTTCCCTTGAACGAAGCATTTACGCTGTTTCTTCCTATTGACATTATACCGAATTTCAGTATCATCCGCACCGTTGATGGCAAAGTGCTGCACAGGTACAAACACCCTGCTGCCGTGTTTGGCTGTGATTGGAGCCAGAACAACAAGTGAGTATTTTCTTCCCTGAAATAAGTAATAATTACATTTCTGAGATTTCGAAGGACCCTGAAGTTGCGTGTTCTTCCCAGAGGCAATACTCAGTGCTCTTTTTAGGTGGTGCTCCACTTGCCTGGCTCTGTGATTGCTGATTTATTCTAGGTGTCCACTTTCATTTCATGAAGTTTTTACATGACTTAGAAATATCCATTTCCTGCGTTCTGATGCGTGAGGATAAAGCACGTGGCTAACTCATGAAAAATGGAAATCAGCCCCATCCGTGTGGTGTGGATTCTGCCGGAGCAATGCCGTCCGTTCTCGAACCCTTTTAGGGACCCTGCAGTGGACTGTTCCACCCGACTGCCCATTGCCCCCACCCGATGCTAAGGCCTCCCGCTGCAGCAGTTCCCAGCTTGTGGAGCTTGTGTGGGTGGTTTTGAAGGATCAACCTTGCTCATTTCCAGATTACAGGTGGAAAATATGCATATTAAAATATTACTACTTTATTTTATGCGTGTTCTGAATCAAATCACATTTTATACACAGTAATGGGTCTGTGTATTTCTTCCAGTCAATGCAGAAGAATTTATTGCACATCCTTAGACGTTATATACAGAATGAGCTCATGGCCGCTCCTCCCCCGGTGTCCTACCTTGTCACCTCCCATTGTCCATTTCCCCTCGGCCATGAGTTACTGTCAGGCCCTCCATCTAAATGTTCTGCTGTCTGACCTTCCCTCTTGCCATGAAACCAGTAACGTCTGTTTGTTTGGGGGTTTCTGCAAAAGCCTACGTCAGTTTCAGAATTCACACCCTCTAGTGTCAGAAATTAGAACTGTGTATGTTTTGAAATTATCAGTCACAAATAACGTCTCATTTTTCGTATTTCCATATTCCCATGTGCCATCGGTGGCCCTTCAGAGACATGATAGCCACTGGCTGTGAAGACAGAAGCATCCGCGTCTACTACGTGGCCACCAGCTCGGATCAGCCCCTGAAAGTGTTCAGTGGGCACACGGCCAAGGTCTTCCACGTGAAGTGGTCCCCGCTGAGGGAGGGGATTCTCTGCAGTGGCTCTGATGATGGGTAAGTATTTTGCGATTCCAATTTCCTAGTCCTTAAAAATCATACGCTTATAATTTTTTAGAAATGCACTTATTTACATGATCCAACTGACATGGGACATATTTTAAATATATACTCAATATGTTGGCAGTGAACAAGTCCCTAAATGCATTCAACCAAATGTAAGTTAAATTTGCCGTGCTTATATTATCAGCATAGTCATGATTTCTGTTTTCTTATTTTACTTCCTATGGATGCTTATTTCTATCTCACTAATAGCAAAGTTAATAGAAACAAAAAATTTAAAAGGATCTTTTGGGAAAGGGAAAGAGATCAGAAACAAACGTCTGTACGATATAGAGAAGCGTTTAACATTGTCCGTATATTATGGAAAACAGCTGGACTCCGTTCATTAAAAAGGGAGTAAAGATGACTATGGATCTTAGCATGAAGAGAAGATATTTTAGAAATGAGAGTGATTTAACATTTTGGGAGGTTTGTGAAAGTTTCTGAATCTTGTCTATATATTCAAACAAGATAGATTCGCATAATACAGTCTGGTCACTATTGAATATGAGATAAATTTAGATAAGAAAATTTTTACTTTATTCAAGTAAAAGTCATAGCATACGGTAACCTCAGGCCTAATATTGAAAATTAAGTATTATTTTCTTGAAATTTTGCAATAAATCCAAATTTAATAATGAGAATAATTGTGGGATTTCTATGGGTTATCACTTCAGTCTCCTAACATGCATTCGAGTCTAAATTCTATTCTACATGAAAAAACTATAATCTTCAATTACTGTCTAATAAATATTTGTCAGAAAGACAGCAGTGAGCACATAACTGACTTAGGGTGTTGAAAGTTGAAAGGCGTCACTGAATCCTGGTGATCCGTCCTCTTGGGCTTATAGGTGGTGGTTCTACCTAACGTGTTATCTCACGTCTTTAAATAAACGTCAGAATTATCGGGAAATCATTAACTGCCAGTGTGCTTATTACAGAATTCAGCCTGGAGGCCTCGGGCAGTCCTGTGTTCAGTGGGGCACATGCAAGCTTTTCTTATGTTCAATTAAAAAATACACTTTAGGACTTCAGTGCCTGATGTTCACCTAATTTACCTTATACCATAAAAGCAAGGGCACCTGTTCTAGTGCCCCCTACAGTAGCCTTAAAGTATTTTGAAACAATCACTTTGATATAGTCTTATATGTGGAGGTGTGATATCAAACAAAATAATTTGAACACGTATAAGAAATTAGCACCCCAAATAGGTCTTGATATATCTGGATACACTGTTCTGTGCTAGGATAAGAGGAAAAGCAGAAGAGATGTGCCTTAAAGAAATAAAAATATATAATGTGTTTCCTTTAGAGTGTAACATATCCTTTGAAGTATTAATACTTTGGTATCATCAGGTTGATATAAATCTGTGACTAAAAAATTAGTATGAACTGTCCAAGCAAAGCTCACATTTGGGGATCTTAAGTTGATTTTGAATTCAAATTTTATTTAGGTAACATCCATACTTTATATAATCAGTAGATTCAAGTCATATCATGAATCCAGTTGTATTTAAATTTTGAATTTGGTCTGAGAGTGATTCCACACTGAATGAGCAACTTAATATACTGACAGAAGCATGAAGGGTGACTTTCTGTGTTAATAAAACCATAAATATGAATCGATTTTTCAGGTAATATCCATTGTCATGCATACTGTATTTTCAGATTTACAGATAATTTGAGTGTTCTTAATTTGTCATATCCTTCTATTAATCTTATTTTTCTTTGCCTTTATCTGTTCCAAATATTTCATTTTAAGAAAGCAATTTTTTAAACATATAAACTGTGAAATGGTACATTTGATATCATTAGCAAATGGCCAGCAAAGGTCAAGGGGAAAGTACTGTATGTTGGAGTAGGCTAGCTCTAGCCTAGTTATTCATTTCCATCTGCCCTAAAGAAGAGAATCTTAACGTGTCTTGAAACATACAGTGTTTTTTAATATACTGAGAAGTAACAGCTGTGCTTTGGTGAGAACGTGTTGACGCTTTGGACCGACCCTGACTCGGATGGTGCTGCCCCCGCTCCCCCGCTGCAGGGCTGTTCGGATCTGGGATTACACTCAGGATGCCTGCGTGAGGGTGCTCAGCGGGCACTCGGGCCCCGTGCGGGGCCTGCTGTGGAACCCCGAGCTCCCGTACCTGCTGGTGTCTGGCAGCTGGGACTACACCGTGAAGGTGTGGGACACGCGAGAAGGGACCTGCCTGGACACCGTGTGCGATCACTGTGCAGACGTCTACGGTAAGGGTTTCTCCTGTGCTTTTAGATGTTGCCGCCTTAATGATTTTAATTTCTGAGCAGTACAGTATTTTTTAAGAAGTCTTGCATTGTTTCATTCTAAAATAACATTTTCTTATTAGAAACTATACATGTTATTATTGAACTAGGAAAATACACAGAGAATAATAAAAATGTCATCAGGAATTTGCAGAAGATAACTTTTGTTGGCATTGTAGCGTCTTCCTCCCTCTGCAGGTGTATTTGTGTCTCCCCCCCCCCACACACACACACAGGCACACACATGCTCATGCACATATTTGCGTGTATGGCTTGGATTTTTCTCCCCCTCTTTACTATCACTTCAGAAGTAAGTTGTAAAACAGGAAATCAGAAATAGTATAGATATAGCTTATTTAGCCATTCCTTTACCTCTGTTCTTAGATAGAGTAGTGTGGCTTTTTTAATGTTACTGAGTTTCGTATGGAAAATCAGATTTTTTATCTTCTGCACATCCCTGTACTCGTTTGTGGCACCCAAACCTTGCTGGGCGTGAGTAGGCCAGCTGAGAATGCGCCCAGACTGTGTGGCTCCGTTTGTTTAGTGTTGTCCTGGGCACCAGAAGGCTGCTGGTTGATTCCCGGTCAGGGCACGTACCTGGGTTGTAGGTTTGATCCCTGGTCAGGACACGTAGGGAGGGAACAGATCCATGTTTCTCTTTCCCAATGATGTCTCTCCCTCTCCCTCTCCCTCCCTGTCTCTCCCTGTTTCTTTCCAAGCATGTCCTCTGGTGAGGATTTAAAAAAAAGTTTGCAAAAATGACCCCTTAAAGAAGTAACCCTAATCTATCCATTTGCACCTGTGTGCTTTACCCCAGTGGCCTTCTGAGCAACGCATGTGGGACTGAGTGTGAGAGAGAACCCCATTTCTGGACAGTTTAAATGGAAAGGGCCCCAACTCTTGTAGCTAGGACCTCCATCAGTTCACAGATGAATGTGCACCCCACTGGTATTAACAAACAAATATAGTTTCAGCATTTTAACCCAGGACCATTTGCTTTCTAGTAATTATTCCACTTGTATTCATATTTATAGAGTATGCTAAATAATTTCTTATATTATTTTCAGCCAAGAAAGAAAGATTTCTTTAAAACTTCAGTTCTGTAAACGTTTGATGAGGTCCGTATAGACAAAACTTTTCAGTGTTCACTTTGGTTAAGAGGTTCCTTCTTCCCCCAGGTCTAACCTGCCACCCGAGCCGCCCCTTCACCATGGCCTCCTGCTCGCGGGACTCCACAGTGAGGCTCTGGTCACTGGCGCCGTTAACCTCCCCTTTACACATAAGCATCCTGGCGGACAGACCCTGGAAGGAGATCATCGGCAACACTGGTAGGGAAAATGTGCGCCTCCCAGACGTTTGTCTTCATTCACATCTCATAGCAGCCTTTCCTCACGGGTTGTGTCTGTCCCCAGACTACGCGGTGCTGCCGGGCGCCCCCCCCATCCTGTGTGGCAAAGTGTCCAGAGACATCAAGCAGGAAATAGAGAAGCTAGCCGGCGACCCGCGAGCCAAGAAGCTCAGGTGGTTTTCAGAGTGTTTCTCAGTGAGTATCTCAGGAATTAGGTGTGAGCATTTTCCCCTGCACCGGAATGAATCATCACAACCGTTGTCATGAAGCCACCACGTGTTTACATGTGTCACCCTGCCCCCTGGCTCCCTCTGAGTGGGCCTGCACGGTGCGAGGAAGCGCGTGGAAGCCGGAAACTGCGTGGGATGGAGCCTGGTGGTTCCTTCATTAATTTCAGCCTCAGTGCGCCTGCCGTGTATGATTGAAGGCGCAAAAAGCTGTGGGTTTCTCACTCATGATTACGTCTTCGGTTATTCATTCTGTGTCAACTTTTCAGCCTCCAGGTGGCAGTGACAATCTGTGGAACTTGGTGGCTGTGATCAAAGGGCAGGACGACAGCTTGCTTCCCCAGGACTACTGCAGAGGAATAATGCACCTGAAGCATCTGGTTAAGTTTAGGACGGTGAGTGAGGCGAGCAGAAGGATGGGCGCCGGCACAGATGAGTTTCGCCTCCTCGCTATTACAGTGTGAAGTTTATTTTAAACTTCTATATAGTTAGGGTTGGCAGGGTGAGATAAGAGAACATGGAGGCGACAGGCCTTCAGTAAGAACCGAGCATGAGAGTGCGGCTGAGAGTGCGTTATCCGAGACACATGAGCACCCAGAGTTCTCACAGGCTGAACCTGGTGAAGTTCCTCAGAGCTCACCTGGAGCTACCTGAAACGCCCCCGCTCACCCTGCAGCCAGGCGAGGGTGCTGTGCGACCTCTGGTTCTAGCCTCCGAGGCCTGGGAGGCTGTATGCTGAGATGTGTTTTATTAAAACTGATCTTATTACATAGATTGCATTGAATTTTAATGCAAAATTATTAGTTATCTCATACCTGGGCAATAGGCAGTAACAGTGACACACCAGACCTGGGGCTGGAAAGAAGAAACAGCTGTTATATTCCCCGTGAACTGTCAACCGTGAGCATGGAGAGAGCTGTGCACGGACTAGACACGGAGTGACTGTGACAGTTCCCTGTTGACAGTGGAGGAGCCAGCTAGAGTGAGCCAGTGATTTTAATTCTACTAGAGGCCTGTGTATGCCTTTTCCACCAGGGGTGTATCTTCACCACTCTCTGCCTTTCGGCCTCTGGGCCTCTATATAACCAGCCCCCCAGGGAGTTGTAAGGACCCTGGGATGTAGCCTCTCCACACCCACACGGGGCACACCCAGGCCCCACTCCTCACCCACACCCAAAGGCTGTGTTTAAAGAGCTATCCTGTGTTATAGAGAAAAAGTATTGATTTTTAAAATGTCTCATTTGCAGTGCTGTGCATTTTTAAGCCGTGTATCCTTATGATGCTTTTATGGCCGTGTGTTGGCTCTTGTATAACAAAATTCAGAAAAACTTTCTTTTCTGTATCACCAGTCTGAAGCCCAAGAGCTGACAACGGTCAAGATGTCCAAGTTCGGCGGTGGCATCGGTGCTCCGACCAAGGAGGAAAGACTGAAGGAGGCCGCGGAGATACACCTGCGACTGGGACAGATTCAGAGATACTGTGAGCTGATGGTTGAACTTGGGGAGGTAATGTGCTGTTAAAGCAAAGTTGATGGGTTTAGCAAAGTATTCCAGGTACTGATTAAATACTAAGTGTTAAGCTGATGGTTTCCAGATCTAACTGGATCTCGGCCAGTCTGATGTCAGGTGTGTGCGCCTCAGAACCGTGGCTGTGAAAGTGGGATCCGGGGCGTCAGCATCAGCACTACCCCGAAACCTGGTGGGCATGCGTCTCCTGCCTCAGACCTAGAGTCAGAAAGTCTGGGGGTGCAGCCCGGAGCTCTGAGCCTGCGTCAGTCCTCCGGGCTGGTCTCATGCACGAGGAGGCTTGAGAACCGCAGCCTGGGCTGGCATCTTTGATTCCTAAAGAACAGCCCTGTTGGCAAACTTGCCCCCAGAAGCCCTTGCTAATGCCATTTGTCGTAACTAAATCCCGCACTGGCCAGAGGAAGGGTTCCTGAGGGCCACCTGATGACACATCTGGATTTTAAAGAGGACTGAACAAAACAGCTTTCAAGGGAAGGCGAGGGTGAAGCTACCCTGTTAAATTCCGCACGGAGCTTACGCTGGGGAGGCAGGTGGGGACCGAAGAGCAAAAGCTGGGAGGCTCCCGGTTCTTGATCTGGGTGTTGGTTCCACGAGTGAATTCAGTGTGTGGGCACTTACTGAGCTTTTCATTTTTCTGCATGTGCATTTACTGCAACAAAATTCTCCCACCCCCCCCAAGAGAAAAAAGATTAGAATGGCATGGACTCATTTCATACTTGGTCATTTTTGAGAAGCTCTCGGTTGGCTCATTTAATAATTACAAGATGATATTAAGGATACATATAAAGCATATAAAGTAAAACGAAGCAATAAAGTTATAATAAAATATTACACAAAAATTAAATTCAGTGCACCTTTTTATTTCTTCATACATTAGAGACAATTATTGCTTGACCTAAATGAATAAAATCTGTCTTTTAAAATGTTATTGAAAGGCACTGCAGACTAAAAGTGTTTAATGTAGGAGCAAGGTAAAGGTTTTACTTACCGAGAAGATATGACTTAAAAGTTACTTTTTAACAGAGCACTACTTAAAAGAATAGCACCTATCAGAAGTCAAGGTGAAAATAAATAATTTTTGGTAGAACTATTTAATTCTTTATCTTTCTGAGTTCTGTATTTGGGCATATATGATTTTAAACTACATTTAATTCAAATTTAATTAAAGATCCTTTAATCAGGTATCTGCTTATGGAGCTTAATAATTTTGTTGTGCAGCTTTATTGATGAACTTGATGCAAAAACTGTGCTTAAAATTCTTTAGGAACATGTGGGTTTTTATAATTGTTCATATATCACCTTCTGACAAGTCATTTCCATTTCTGTAAGGTTAATACTGTGAGATTAGAAAAACATTTAATCTTTCCACTTACAAGACTTGTTTTTATTGAAGGAACTTGGTGAAGTTAATTTAATCTACATTTCTACTTCTTTTTTCCATTTTCCCCCACTATATTATAGACAAACTTCCTCTAAAAAACATATTTTAAGTGCCCTTTCTTAGGTAACATGATTATTATAAATAATATAATATTTAAAATTACCTGTTTAAACTCTAACTTATTATTTTCAGGCTAATTGCCAATTTTATAGCCTTAATTGCAGTAGAATTCTGTTTTGGAAAGCCTTAATTCAAACAAAGCTTTGAGCCTGGTGGCTCAGTTGGTTGGAGCATCACCCCAACCAAAAGGCTGCGAGTTTGATTCGTGGTCGGGGCAGGTACATGTTTCTCTCTCACATCAATGTTCCCCCCCCCCAAGTCAATATAAAACCGCATATCCTTGGGTGAGGATTAAAAATATAAATATAAATAAAATAAAATGAAGTGTTGATTTATATGGTGATATTTTGGAATATTTTCCTCACTTCCCTTCTACCCTTGAATTCACCGAACCCCCTGTTTCCAAACAGTCAGTCAGCCTTGACTGAGCAGTGAGCTTCTGTATTAGTCTAATTTTTTAACTATGAAGACAGGTATTATCAATTGTAAGGAAGAATTTAAAACAAATATAATTTATTAAAATGGGTAGGGAGCCCGGCCAGTGTAGCTCAGTGGTTGAGCATCGACCTAGGATCCAGAAGATCCAGGTTCGATTCCCAGTCAGGGCACAGGCCCGGGTTTGGGGCTCAATCCCCAGCAGGGGGCATGCAGGAGGCAGCCGATTGGTGACTCTCATCGTTGATATTTCTCTCTCCCTCCCTCCCTTCCTCTCTCTGAAATCAGTAAAAAAATATTTTTAAAAAATAGGCAGGGAAAGAATAAAACTAGAAACAGATGTTATATTTGTTAAACGTAACAGTGAAATAAAAATTTCAGAATGTATTATTTTGCACATAGAACACAGAACACCGCAGAACAAAGCCCTCTGGTGTTGTGTTAGAAGATCAGTGAATATATTTTCCAAACTACACACTTTAGTTACTCCCCTTCCCTGATCCTCACCTTCTTTCTCTCTCCCTCTCCCTAGCTCTCTTCCCTGTGTCTAGGACTAGGTTTAGGATTTTCCCTGCTAAATAATAGAATTTATATATCTTATTTCACTTCAAACTATGGTAATATTTATAGTCTGTGGAATGAATGAAGTAGAGCACAGAAATGGTCCTGGAAATGCACATACTCTAAAAATACTCTGAAATCTTGTATTATAAATATGAGTCCATTAAAAACAGGTCTGTGGAGAGCTGGTGCAATCGAACGGCTTGTTTCTGCTCTGCTCTTCTCCTGCAGTGGGACAAGGCCTTGTCAGTCGCACCTGGGGTGTCTGTGAAATACTGGAGGAAGCTGATGCAGAGGTAAGGCAGAGCCTGTGGCCAGTAGATCTTTTCAAATATGTTAACACAGAAACAGGTAAATATGGCAGTTTTAGAGATTTTTACTTTTATGTTATTTTAAATAATAGCTGAATTTATATCTTCTGATATAATAAATTAATTGGTTACAAGTTATTTTGCTGTTCTTGTATTTGACCTGATATCTGATAAAGACTGTGGGAGGCAGATGTCCCCGTGTCAATGGACGAAACGACAGATCCATAAACATACTCACTGCTTACTTGTTGATATTGAAAAATGAGTGGTGCACTCGCCAGTCTGCCCAGTGGTTAGAGCGTCGGGCCTCGGACTGAAGGGTCTTGGGTTTGATTCCAGTCAAGGGCACGTACCTGGATTGCAGGCTCGGTCCCTGGCCCCGGTCAGGGCACATGCGGGAGGCAGCCAATCGACCTCTCTCTCTCCCCCTCCCCTTCCACTCCCCCTGAAAAGCAATGGAGGAGATCATCTCGGGTGAGGATTGAAAGAACAGCGCGTGGTAAGGTTTTCTGTAGGTCACCAGGTGCCTGTGGAATAGTTCCTCAGAATCTCAGGGGTGCCCTCGTAGGCACGATTCCTGCCATGTCCTCTCATGGACATTCGGGAGGAGCCCACGATGAAGGGAGTTTCAACACCGAGCACGCTCAACCCGATGTCCTTGTTCAAGAATTTAGTAAACAAGATCTTTTCTAAGATGTATTCGTTTCCTAGGGACGTCATAGCAAAGTACCACAAACCAGGTGACTTGGAACAGCGGAAACTTACTCTCTCTCAGTTCCAGGGCTAGAGGTCTGCTATCAAGTCATCGGCACGGTTGGTTCCTGCCGAAGGCTCTGAGAGGATCAGGCCCATGCTTTCTCCCAGCACCCTGGGCTTGCAGACTCCTCGCGCCAGCCTCTGCCTTGTCTTCACTGGGCATTATCCCTGTGTGCCTCTGTGCCCAAATGTCCCTCTTTTTATAAGGACACTACTCATATCGGGCTTAGGATCTATCCTAATCCAGGATAACCCTATCTTAGCTAATTACAGTGACAAAGATCCTATTTCCAAATAAGTTAACATGGGTTAGAATGCCAACATATCTTTTTGGGGGACACATTTTAACCCATGACTCAAGACCATTCTCTATTCTATTCATTCATTCATTCATTCAACAAATATTTATCTAGTGCTTACTATGTACTAATCACTGTGCTGGGCCTATAGAGTGCTATTTAATGAGTGCTTGCTTTATATCTGGCATCAGAGATGAAAAATTTTTATTTTTATTTCCTGGTACATGTTTTATAAAAAAAAAAAATGAACTGCAACTCACATGTACAAGTAAAAATCAATCAGGGGAAGCATGGATCACCGATGGATTGATGCATTTGCTGTGGGAAAGTAGAGTCCCCAGCACCTACTTCCCCAGCTGTAAGTTCAGCAGCAGGCTGGTGTCAGCCCTCGAACTGCAGGCTCCCTCCCTAAGCTCCAGGATCCCAAAGAGTCCTCCTCGGGCCCTCGCTGCAGCTGAGAATGTTACTGCTCCCACCGAAACCTCAACAGGTCAAGTTAGCACAGGACATTTATTCCACAAAACAAGTTTCTCTAAACCTCAGCAGAAGCTCTTTTTCATTTATCTTTGCAAACGAGCACTGGGTTTTCTCTGCTGTACTCGGTGGCCAGAAAACGGTCCCCCTGCAGCTCTGAAGTTTATACTTTGTAGACCCAGCCATGGAGATTGACAGTCTCTCAGTCCCAGTTCCAAATGCCAGGGAAGAGAATATTGTCTCTAATCAGCTGTAACAAGGAAACCAGGGTCACAGGGTAAAAATAGAGGTGTGGGAAGAACCCCAGTGACCCTGTAAATTGGAGATGATTGACGGGGCGAGCCAGGAAAACAAGATAAAGTGTGTCTCCTGCACCTGCCCAAAGATCGGCCATTGAAATGTGATTTAGTGCAAATGCCAACATAAATTAAATAAACCAGATTAATGTTGAACACACAGGTTAAACATTAAGAGTGGAAGGACCTAGGTTGGCCTTCGAGAAAGTATCTGGGACGTGGACAGGAAAAAAGAAGCTGAGACGGGTAGTGATGGACAGAGAGGGACAGAGACAGACACACATATGCCCTTCGTAACCTTCAACGTCAGGATCCCCTGTCCTCTCCACATTTCCGGAACATTTTTTAAAATTTTATTTATTTATTTATTTATTTATTTATTTATTTATTTATTTATTTATTTATTTAAATATTTATTTTAAATGTCTTTATTGATTTCAGGCAGAGGAAGGGAGAGGGGGAGAGAGAGAAACATCAATGATGAGAAAGTCATTGATCGGCTGCCTCCTGCACGCCCCCGACTGGGGATCGAGCCCACAACCAGGGCATGTGCCTTGACCAGGAATCAAACCCCGATCTCCTGGATCCTAGGTCGATGCTCAACCACTGAGCCATGCTGGCCAGGATGGAACCTTTTTTTAATTACCTGGCTTGGGTCACTCACCATACTCTACATTTTATTACCATTATTCATGGTCTTGTGTTATTTTTTTAATGGTTTTTAATCTACTTGCATTTAGAAGCTTCTCTATTGTTGTGTTCATTGTAACATCTAAAATTCTCTTTGAGTAGACACCTGCACATTTATTAACCCAACCGGGAGCAGATCTCCCATCACACGTACACAGTCTACAACTTATTTTCAGGAAAATGGATTGCTCAAGTGCATAGAGAAGCTGCATTAATTTTAAACCCTGACATGCTCAGTACATTTAAAATATGAAAATATGTGGTAGTCTAAGGGAAAACAGTACCTGTAGTATTTATTATTTCAGAAAACTTGGTCTTCCATGTATGATTTGATCATATCTGTCTTTTTTAAAAGTGACATGCTAAAGAGCTTTATGAGATCTGCTTCAAGTTTTAGATATTTCAGAAAATCTCAGTCCAACTGAGAACCTTGAAATTACTATATTATTAAAAAAGAAATTGTTCTCGTTTTATTAGGCGAGCCGACCAGTTAATTCGGGAAGGTAATGATGATGTCATTCCCTACTGCATAGCCACCGGCGACGTGGAGAAGCTCCTCCGTTTCTTCATGGCCCGGGGTCAGCTCAAAGAAGCCCTGCTGGTCGCCCAGGTACACGCGTGTCACACGCACGCTCGGCCCTTGGCGGGCGGGGGAGGAGGGAGAGGCCCTGGGGACTGAGCACCTTCGTGACGGGCGCAGTCGGGGGTGGCGGCCTCTGCGCACCTCCGGCCTGGGTCTCGACATTCTGGTCAACGTCTCTGTGCTTGGGCCACACTGGACTGAGTTTAGATCCCTAGATACTCTGAGCCTTGCTTGCTGCTGACGCTTCCGTGAGCCTGAGCAGCTTTTTCTGGTGACCGGGCACGTGAACCTGCACGTTGATACAATAGCGGTCACTTCCTTTTCTTTTTTTCAAATTCTGAGGGTATCTCCAAATCGTAGTATAAGTTTCAAACATGACTTAGGAATACTTTGTTCAAAATACTAGTCTGAAGTTGATCAGTTGCTAAAGGTAAATTCAAGTTTTCATTAAATCCCAGGCCGCTTGCGAGGGAAACATGCAAACCTTCCAGGCTCCTGCGCCTAAAGGACCTTCCCGCTGTGACGATGTCCGCAAGGGGGACTTTCACAAGTGAGCCGTGGATTCTGTGTTTGGGTCCAGGACTTCTGACGGCTGGCTTCCCTTTGGGCGGAGTTGAGGGCCGCGCAGTTCGCCCCCCTTTGTGGCTGGCCCGTGTCCTCCCTGCCTTTCTCACCCGCCTGGGTCCCTGGCAGCACCTGTCCCTAGGCGCGCAGGGACAGACGAGCCAGGTGGNCCCCCTTTGTGGCTGGCCCGTGTCCTCCCTGCCTTTCTCACCCGCCTGGGTCCCTGGCAGCACCTGTCCCTAGGCTCTCAGGGACAGGCGAGCCAGGTGGACGCAGCGTCCNCAGTTCGCCCCCCTTTGTGGCTGGCCCGTGTCCTCCCTGCCTTTCTCACCCGCCTGGGTCCCTGGCAGCACCTGTCCCTAGGCGCGCAGGGACAGACGAGCCAGGTGGGCGCACTCTGCACGCGACTTTCAGTGCGGAGACTGCAGGCCAAGCCCCTGAGCACGTAAAACGGAGCAGACCTGGGAGGAGGGGCGTGAGTGGCTCACTCGTGTTTCCTGTAAACCAGTGTGGACGGTGTCACGTAGCATTGTTCATATCCCACGACCCCGGTTTCAGTGTCTAGAGTAACCGTTCAGCCTCTTTTTACAAAGCCCACATGGTTGTTTGTAAAAGAAACGGCAATTAGAATTCGTCAGCTTTCTGACCTTTTCAAATCTAGTAACCTGCCTCCCCGGGCTCTTCTCTTGGCTCCTATTTCACCCCAGAAAATAGGAAATGTGAACCTTTAGGACACTTGCCGAGTGAAAAGGGATCATCACATGTTAAGAAAGGAGTGTGCTGGGACTGACACTGTCCCTGGGTCTGTGCCGCTGCTCTCTGCTGTTTCCAGATCTGGCATCTTGAAGACCTAACACACAGTCCCCGTGGGCCAGTCGCCACCTAAATCTTGAAAAGTTTGAGTTCAGCTCACCTACTAAGAAAGCCTGCCTTCCTGATTTCCCCCCAAACCAGGCATTATACCCAAATCGAGGATGTCCAGTTAACCCTGGTCCCTTAACCGGCTTGTATGAAAGGGCGTTCGTTCCCTTTTCCGGGGGGATCCTGCATTTATCTAGAATGTTCCCCTTCTCTCTCTAGGCTCCTGCACACGGTGAGCGAGGAGCTGGCAGAGTGGCACTTTCAGGACGGCCGGGCAGTGCTGGCCGCGTGCTGCCACCTGGCCGCAGACGACGTCGAGGTGCATGTCACTCGGGTTTGTGTGCGTGGAAAGCTCCCGAGGTGTATCGTGGGGTCTGAGGGAAACGTAGGGTCACTTCTGTGTAAGATCCCGTTTTGCAGGTTTTCCAAGCCTACAGACTCTGAGATCTGTGCTTCCATTTTTCATTTCATCCTAAGATACGCGTCTGTGACGAGCTTACGTGCAGTGTCTCATCGTGGACGAGGGGCAGTAGGGTGGTCGGGGGGAACCTCTGCACGTCACTCAGCACCCCGGACTTTTGAGCACTTATTTTATTTTATTTTATTTATTTTATTTATATATCTTTATTGATTTCAGAGAGAGGAAAGGAGAGGGAGAGAGAGAAATATCAATGATGAGAGAGTCATTGATCGAGCCCGCAACCCGGGCATGTGCCCTGACCCAGAATCGAACCCCGATCGCCTGGATCCCAGGTGGACGCTCAACCGCTGAGCCACGCCGGCCGGGCAAGCACTTATTTTAAAGAACACTTCAGTATACTCTCCACAAGTTATATTTTTAGGGTATTTTCCACTTGACCCACTAATGTGACGAGGGAAATGTTAAGTAAAGATACAGGTTCTGTTTTTATGGACCCTTAGACGTCCTCGCTTTAGGGGATAATTGACACTCATCCTTCAGTTCTTAAGAAGCTTTTAAGGATCTACGTTTTTTGCATTTTTTTCTGATGGACATGTTGAGGATATTTCAGAGAGACTGTTAATAATTACAAAAATATGAGCAAGGGTTCTAAATTCCTACATTCTAACCTTATAGAATATTTTCCATGTCTCTCTATCAGCTTTTCCCCTTGAAATTGCAGTTATGCTTACGCACTGGGTAGAAATAGTAATTCACTTTTTCTAGGAATGACTGACTGTAGGTTAGTTTGGCCTTATCTACGCTGAGCTGGCGGGACGGTGGCCCTGCCCAGCGTCTCTGACACTGAGGACACTGTTTCCTCCCGAGCAAGCTGGCGATGGCGGCCCTGGTCCGCGGGAACGAGCTGGAGCTGGCGGTCTGCGTGGGCACAGTCCTGGGAGGCTCGGCCGCACGGGCCACTCACTACGCCCTGGAACTGCTGGCGAGAAAATGCATGACCATCCCAATGTGGTAAGAATTCCAAACGCAGAGGAGAATTTCACGGCGACGGAACCCACTTTTTCAGTCTTGCAGGCTGCGTTTGATAAGTGTGCTGGGGTACACAGGTCTCCTTTTTAAACAAAAGGTGAGATGGGGAGGAGAAAGGGTGCCCTGGCTGGGTAGTGGAGGCCCCCGTGACCCACTCGGAAAAGCCCAGTTGTGATCCCGTGTAACCCCAGGCTCATGGAGCACCTGCGACAGTGCATGTGTACGTTTAGATGATCGAGACCACACATGCCCACACTTCACATTCTGCACACCTATGACACTGGTTCTTGTCCAATCTCCTGTCTTGGTTTAAGGTTTGGAAAATAAAGTCACTTTCCAATGGAGAGAAATAATAACAATGGCTTAGCTGGTGACTTAGAACAAGCTACTTCCCCCAGCTTGGGCAACACTTTCAGAGCAAGACCCTGGAAAGGCCCCAGGGTAACCGGGGATCCTGGTCCCGCTGGGCTCACACCTGCAGAGCCTGTTCTATGGCCCTTCATTAGGGAGGGACTTTTAGGAAAGGTACGAGGCTGTCACTCAATGGGCATGTGTTGAATAAAGATGGTTTTAGACTTTTATCTTTTACTGAATTACTTAGAACCTCGAGAAGTTTTAAATAAGCTTGTTGGTTAGGACTTTGACCTCCCTGCCGTCCACCCCTTGCACACCCCCCGCTCTTAGGCTGGGGCTCTGCAGACTGCACATCGAGCGCCGCAGGTGGTAACAGCAGCAGCTGACCACGCCACTTGCTGTGTGCCTGGCACGGATTTAGCTCTCTGCCTGTAATAACTCACTAGATACTACACAGTGGATACTGATTTGCCTCTGGTCTCAGTATGTGGTAAGAGCCAGGATTCAAAGCAACGTGAACCGTCTCTGAAGTTCACTCTCTCAGCTGGCATCTTGGTCACTTAGGGCTGCTGTAACCAGGTACCACACCCTGGGTGGCTGAGGAACAATAAAATGCATTTCTCACAGTTCTGGAAGCTGCGAACTTCCAGGTCAGGGCGCCGGCAGGTTGGGTGTCGGATGAGCTGGCGTCCTGGGTGACTGTTGGCATCTCACCGGTCCACGGGGAAGGGGGAGGAGCCCCCGTGGCCTCTTCTGCAAGGGCTCAGGTCCCATTCCCAAGGGCTCTGCCCTCGCGACCTAATCACCACCCGAGGACCCACAGATACCGTCACATGGGGGACTTGGTTTCGACTTATTAATCGGGGACACACATTCAGATGACGGCAGCTGTCACACTGTACCGCCTCATGCGGGGTTAACCCAGAAAAGAGCAATACTCCCCAGTCTCCCTTTCTCCCCGGATCTAGGGCTTTATAGGGAGCCAGGCATCCCAGAGCTATTTCTTGTTACCAGTGTGTGCAGTGATGGGAGAGCCTCCTTCCCCCACCAGAAGGTCCAGCTACCCCACCACCAGCCTCGGGCTCCAGTGAGCTTCATGCTGACCGCCCCCCGAGAGTGCCCAGTGACCCTCGGTCCCGAGCTGCAGTGGTCAGTGCACAGTTGCTGTGACTCCCTTAGGCCATCCCAGAGCCTGAGGCCTGACTCAGGTTATCCACAAAGGTGGCTGTCTCCATTGCCAAAAGCCATCATCCAGTCTAAGTAAATGTGATTTTTTTAAAGTAAAGGTAAAAAGCAAACAGGAATAGATGCTAAATTTAAATGAGTTTTAAAAAATCTTTCAATTGACTTTATGCCTTAGTTGCTTTTACGGTAAAAGTTCTGTTTTCCTGTAACTGCCCCCCAGGAGTTCTTCCTTTCTGTGTCCATAGCTGTGTAGACATGCGAACCAGAAGCCAGGGCAGCATTCAGATTCTGATGCAGAGGATGCGGATCAGGTTTATTCCCAGGGGAGATCTGTCATTCCCATGGCTATTAGCTCTCCACAAATTTAAAAGCATAATGGAGGTAGCAGCTTAATTTCCAGAATGTCTATAATTTCATAAACCAGAAACCCTTTGCATTGCTGCTTACTAGTTAACGTTTGCTGCTGCTCGGTTCTTGTGCATGTACGTATTACTCACATCCAGGATTGTTCTCTTTAGCTTTCCATCTGATGGATACAGGTATCTCCTTTTATAAGAACTGCTTAATTAAAGATGTACATTCTATTTTATTAGAATGCCAACTCTATATTAAGAAAGTATTAACTATTTTCACTCTGTTTTACAGAATGCCAATTTACTTACACAAGTTATCACATATAAAACCTAACTACAAAGTAATGAAAACAGTTCCTGTAACAGTGCCTATAACCTGGTTAGAAAAGCACTCGTGATTTTCCACGTAAAGGTGTACAGTAAATGAGCTGTGGTTCTCTACAGCGTGAAATAGCAGCTGATTCAGCTCACAAATTAAAACACCTGCTCTGGTAGTGACCCTTGAGAGGTCAGAGCGTGTCGTTACGTGTGCCTGCGTTCTCTCTGATCCACCGTGTACTGAGTTTTCCGTAAGTAGTGACTTCAGCTAAAGAGTGGACTCGCTAGCGCTGCCGTGAAGCTCACTGTGCAGGGGACAGTCAGCAGTGAGAAAGGCAGGTTTTTATCTGAGGCTGACAGAAGTTTGGTTAGAATTTTTGGACAGCAATTTTATATATCATAAAAGCAAGTAATAATTTCTATATTCTCATGGACATTATTGAAAACTGCTGTTATATGCCAGCATCAGGAAACATAAAGCCATTCATAATTTTAGCAAGAACAGGTGAGTTACTCTAATTTGGAAATTGTAAAAACATCCAGAGATTTTTGCATCACCTCTGCAATGGTAATGGAAAATCTGACACACAACCAGTAGTCTCTGTTGTTGTTTTATACTCACTATATTCTTGATTAAGTATCTCAGTGTTTTAGAAGTAACTCAGCCACATACGTGACCAGTACAGATTGCCCTGGGGGCCGCACACAGAAGGGAGGGAGGATTTTGCTTCCGTCTGCAGACGCCCATCATGAACTCACGTTGAAGTCGCGCTGACTGTGTATATGTCAGTTTCCGGAAAGTTGAATAATAACATCTCGAACTACCACAGTTTAGTGTTTTCTTAGTTACTGTGCAAATCCCTTCATCTAGTGATGTTAAAAAGAACTTTAGAAGAAGTCCTTTTAATGTGAAGCTGCTGTCCATGCCGTTTTTGCGTGCCTCAGTTTTAAATGACTTATCCCATTGATTAAACTTTAAAAAGTAAATCAGAAAACTGCGTTTGTAGCTTTGATTTCCACCTAACATTTAGCAAATAGGCAGAACACCCAAAATTCTAAATGTAGACTGTCTAAGTATTGAATGAGCCTATGCACTCGTCCGTGTTGACGAGCATTAGGCTTAGGTTAGGGTTAGGTTAGGGTTAGGTTAGGGATAGGTTAGGGTTAGGTTAGGGTTAGGTTAGGTTAGGTTAGGGCTAGGTTAGAGTTAGGTTAGGGTAGGGTTAGGTTAGGGTTAGGGTTAGGTTAGGGTAGGGTTAGGTTAGGGTTAGGTTAGGGTTAGGTTAGGTTAGGTTAGGGCTAGGTTAGAGTTAGGTTAGGGTAGAGTTAGGTTAGGGTTAGGGTTAGGTTAGGGATAANTTAGGGTTAGGTTAGGGTTAGGTTAGGGATAGGTTAGGGTTAGGTTAGGGATAGGTTAGGGTTAGGTTAGGGCTAGGATTAGGGTTAGGTTAGGGTTAGGTTAGGTTAGGGCTAGGTTAGAGTTAGGTTAGGGTTAGGGTTAGGTTAGGGTTGGGGTTAGGTTAGGGTTAGGTTAGGTTAGGTTAGGGTTAGGTTGNTAGGTTAGGGCTAGGATTAGGGTTAGGTTAGGGTTAGGTTAGGTTAGGGCTAGGTTAGAGTTAGGTTAGGGTTAGGGTTAGGTTAGGGTTGGGGTTAGGTTAGGGTTAGGTTAGGGTTAGGTTAGGGATAGGTTAGGGTTAGGTTAGGGTTAGGTTAGGTTAGGTTAGGGCTAGGTTAGAGTTAGGTTAGGGTAGAGTTAGGTTAGGGTTAGGGTTAGGTTAGGGATAAGTTAGGGTTAGGTTAGGTTAGGTTAGGGCTAGGTTAGAGTTAGGTTAGGGTTAGGGTTAGGTTAGGGTTGGGGTTAGGTTAGGGTTAGGTTAGGTTAGGTTAGGGTTAGGTTGGGTTAGGTTAGGTTAGGGTTAGGTTAGGTTAGGGTTAGGATTAGCTTTCACAGTTTGCTTTGTGTTTCTCTCCAAAGCCCAGGTATCATGCTGCTGTGTGGTGGGAGAACTATTCTATGATAACAGAATCAGCTGTGACTATGTGAAGACTCAGTTTAGAGTTTTACAGACTGTTTGGGAATTTCATAACACACTTTCCTCCATGCCCTTTGGTTCCTGTAACCTCTGTTTGAGGAGTTTTGTGTTAAGTGGGAAACTGGTCCTGTGGATGTGGAGAGAACAGCAGGGAGGGCGTCCTGAGTCGTCTTCCCCTTGCAGTTAGTTCTCCGTGTGGTTCGTAGGGTTCTGTTCCCACTGGAGTTTCCGCTTCTGTTCTGTGACCAGGAATCTGGCTGCCGATCTTCTCCTGATGATCCCCGATAATGAGCTGCAGTTGGTGAAGCTCTGTGCTTTCTACCCAGGCTGTGCGGAGGAGATGAACGATCTTCATGGGAAGGTAGCCAACCATGCTCAGGATTCTAGTTTGGGGCCCAGTGCTGGGACTTAACTAATTTTAGATACAAGCAGAGAAACAAATACACCGTCTCCTCAGGGCCCTTTTATCAATACAACAAAAATGGGAACAATAAGTGACAGTTATTGAGCTCCTGCGTGTGCTTAGAACCATTCTAAACTTTTACATGAATTTGCATGTCACTCACTCCCCGTGAAACCCTGAAAAGCAGGGGATGCTGTCCCCGTTATAGAGAAAGTGAGCTCAGGGGAGGTAAGGAACTTGCCTAATTAGTTAATGGTGGGTGAGAACATTGGCCTCAGCATGCCTGCCACCAGTCCCCAGTCCCCGCGACTGTCCCGCTTGGCATGGAACGTGCACGGACGCTAACTTCTAAAAGTAGACAATTTAGGGTCTTTAAAAGAATGGATGAAGTATAATGAAATTTGCATGCATTTTTCTAAAATGCTTTAAAAAGGCGCCCTTGCAGAAGGTAGGAATTTGTGTATGATGATTATATATAAAACAACCAGCATGCGCCACGTGGGAGGCTGTTTATGGGAACTGCAGCTCCTTTCTACGTTTCAGGGCTTATTAGGCCGTTAGAAGGTCACGGAATCCTGTTTGTATTGGTCGGCAGACGGCTGCAAAGCAAACGGAAAACAGATCACAGCACCGCGCACATGCCGCACGGTTTTCAGTTTGAAGCTACAGTGTATTGAAGGAGATACATAGAGTTCTTTTAAGGAAAAGATGAAACATTTTCTCGTTTTTAAATCTTAAAAATAACAAAGATTTTTTACTTACATGAACCTTTGGTTTTACCCGTGTGTGTGAGTGGCCCTGTTCATTCAACAGTGGAGACTCAGTACTGTGTTAATATAGATAAAACCAAAAGTTTGTGTGTGTCTGAGTGTGTGTTAGTGTGAGAGTGTATGTTAGAGTGTGTGTGTTAGAGCGTGTGTATGAGTGTGTGTGTTAGTGTGTGTATGAGTGTTAGAGTGTGTATGAGTGAGTGTGTTAGTGTGTGTTAGTGTATGTGTGTATGTTAGTGTGTGTATGAGTGTTAGAGCGTGTGTATGAGTGTGTGTGTTAGTGTGTGTTAGTGTGTGTGTTAGCGTGTGTATGAGTGTGTTAGAGTGTGTGTATGAGTGTGAGTGTGAGCATGTGTTAGCGTGTGTGTGAGTGTGTTAGAGTGTGTATGAGTGTGAGTGTGTGNTTAGAGTGTGTGTATGAGTGTGAGTGTGAGCATGTGTTAGCGTGTGTGTGTGTGTTAGAGTGTGTATGAGTGTGAGTGTGTGTGAGTGTGAGTGTGAGTGTGTTAGAGTGTGTGTGAGTGTGAGTGTGTATGAGTGTGTATGTGTTAGTGTGTGTGAGTGTGTTAGAGTGTGTGTATGAGTGTGTGAGCGTGTGTTAGCGTGTGTGTGTGTGAGTGTGAGTGTGTGTTAGTGTGTGTGAGTGTGTTAGAGTGTGTGTGAGTGTGAGTGTGTATGAGTGTGTGTGTGTTAGTGTGTGTGAGTGTGTTAGAGTGTGTGTGAGTGTGAGTGTGTATGAGTGTGTATGTGTTAGTGTGTGTGAGTGTGTTAGAGTGTGTGTGAGTGTGAGTGTGTATGAGTGTGTATGTGTTAGTGTGTGTGAGTGTGTTAGAGTGTGTGTGAGTGTGAGTGTGTATGAGTGTGTATGTGTTAGTGTGTGTGAGTGTGTTAGAGTGTGTGTGAGTGTGAGTGTGTATGAGTGTGTATGTGTTAGTGTGTGTGAGTGTGTTAGAGTGTGTGTGAGTGTGAGTGTGTATGAGTGTGTATGTGTTAGTGTGTGTGAGTGTGTTAGAGTGTGTGTGAGTGTGAGTGTGTATGAGTGTGTATGTGTTAGTGTGTGTGAGTGTGTTAGAGTGTGTGTGAGTGTGAGTGTGTATGAGTGTGTATGTGTTAGTGTGTGTGAGTGTGTTAGAGTGTGTGTATGAGCCTGTGCGTGTGTGTGCTAGTGAGTGTGTATCGGGGAAGAGGCCCGTGGAGGGCAGGGCTGAGAGTCCCCAGCGGGCTGGGAAGCGCCCGAGCTCCCTGCCTCCCTTGGGAGACTCTGAGCGCGCGCTTCGCTTTATGAGCGCGAGTGGGAGCGGCTCCCGTGGCCGTGGGCCGTGGCGGGCGCGGGGCTGCCATGTGCTGCGGGAGGCAGCGGGCCGCTAACCTGGGCGCGGGCGCCTCCAGAGCCTCTCCATTACCGCCGCAGGCGCACAGTGACTGTCGCCAGACCTCGCCCTCAGCTGAGCGACACTAGTCAGGGGTGAGGCCCTAGTAACTGGCAGTTTCCCAGGGACGGGCAGGCAGGTCTGCAGGTATCGCTCACAACGCAACTCTCGGAGTCTGAAGCCCGGGCGGGAGTTTGGGGGTGCCCGTCTACGCCCGCTGCGTGTGCGGGTTGAGTGTGAGGTTTCCCGGGAACCGTTTCTTATTCCCCTGCTCGCTGTGCGTTCCTCAAGGCCGAGACACTGTGCAGCCAGGCACAGCACCGAGCGCACAGTAGGTGCTCAGTGAGTAACCGGCCTTCCGTGAGCAGGGATGGAGGCACCAGGAGGGGTCGTGTACGTGAGAGCTCCTTTAATGTAGTTTGTTGTGATTTTTTTTGAGAGAGAGATTGATCTCAAATGTTCCATTTACCTAATTTTTAAGCAACAGAAGATGTGAAACTGTTGAATAAATCCATTAATAAATACACACATTGAATAAAGCATTCTAGTAACGTAAGGGGATATAAAAGAACAGTGAGGGAAGAGGGTGGCGAGTCTCAGGGGACAAGAGACGAGAGGCAGTGACCACACTGTGGGGAGCACTTTCCGAGTCACAACACGAAGCCTTTCTCGCCGTGGGAGCNCAAGAGACAAGAGGCAGTGACCACACTGTGGGGAGCACTCTCCGAGTCACAACATGAAGCCTTTCTCGCCGTGGGAGTGCATCACAGGGATGGCCAAGGGTGGCCGGAGCTGGAGCAATAAACTTACCAGTGTTGCTAGAAACAAACCCGCAAACCGAACAGCCCCTGACCATGGTGGGTCTGGTCGGGAGGTGACGTCACTCCGGCCGGGCCGCGTAGGGGAGCAGGACACCTGTGGGCGGGACAGACTCATGTCAACAGGATGAAGAATGGGGAGGGGGAGGGAGGCTGTCCCGTCGCAGCAGTGACATCTCAGAGGCTCCGGATCCGCGCCCGGAGTAGTTCAGAAGGTCAAAGCTAAACACTCAGAGCTTGTCCATTTTTTGCCTTTAGCTTGAAATGAAGTCACTTTTGTCTCAAAGGCCAAGTGAAATTAATTTATTGTGTACGAGGCACAGAAGAGTGCGCCTGTTATGTTTCCTACATTTAATGTAGGGTTTTTTTTTTTAAGTTTTCTCTGTTAATCCTCACTTGAGGATATTTTTTCCATTGATTTGTAGAGAGTGTGGAAGGGATGGGGGGAGGGGGGAGAGAGAGAGAAACATTGATGTGAGAGAGACATGCCCCAACCAGGATCGGGGATCGAACCAGCAACCCAGGTACATGCCCTTGACCAGGTTTGAACCCGCAACCCTTTGGTGCCCAGGCCGATGCTCTCACCACTGAAAAACACCGGCCAAGGCCAGTTAATGTAGTTTTGATGTAGGTCAGCATATTGGTTCTAGAATAACTAGTCTCAGCATTTTTTGCTAAATTACATTTTCGGGCACCAATTCCAGTATCACAGCCAAGACATCTCACTCCTACCTCCTTTATTAGGTATTTGTGTAATAAAAACCCCTGACTCTCAGGTAACATCCTATTTATTACTATTATTATATCTTAAAGGCATTTTCATAAATGTATTCTCTTAATGCAAATTATTTTATTCACATCTATTTTGAGCAACTTCAATAAGAAAAAATATCTCAGTATGTGGGACATATTTGGTACTTAGGCTGTTGCTTTTATCCCTACACATCCTGGTCATATTGTCCTCAAACCGATTATTTTCTAGTGCAAGCTGCCCACCACGGAAGAATGTCTGCAGTTAGCTGAGACGGCACATGCAGAGGGCAACGTGCTTGACACCGTCAAGTATTACTTGTTAAGTCAGGAACCTGAAAAAGCCCTTCCCGTTGGTATTGACTTCGTCAAAGGTGAGTGTTTAGTTGGTGGTTAATTTTAAATCTACTTGTTTATTTGATATTTTCACTCATATTCCTAAAAAGCTTTAGAATTAAGCACTAGCCACCCTCCCTTGAGAAAGGAAAGAGATGCGGATTGTGTGGTGTGGGACCTGAGAGAGGGTCAGCTGGTAAATGCTTCTGGTCTGAGTAATAGGGGTAGATAGGATTGGCCAGAAGAGAACTGATTACATAGGTTAAAAATTGGGTCAGCAAATGTTAATACTATTATTTAGAGACTCTTTGATTTTGTTTTATTTTGCCAGAACACATCAGTAGTTCAAATTGGACTTTGGATGCCTTTTATCCTGTTCTTGACCTGCTGAGTTACATTCCTACTGAAAAATTACTCCTGCATACGTGTACCGAGTGAGTACTTTCTCTCTAGAATCCGTAACAGAGGCTACGGGGTGTTTAAAATGACTGTATGATTTTTGGTGTTTACATCAAGAAATAAGATCATCTTGAGCAGGTAGAGATGTACGTGTAGAAAACATTACGTTTTTATTTGTTATAATCATAAGAAAAATACAGAGGTAAATTGGAAATAAATCACAAATCTTAGAGGCCCCATTTACAGTTAGTGTTTGTAAGCTTAGATATGTGCATGTACACACACACACACATACACGCACGCACACACGCATGCACGCACCAGGTTCAAATAAGGGGAATTTAAAGCTTTCTGGTGGTTTGGGACCTTAAGTCCTGCGGAAGCTGGCGTTCATATCTATTAAATACCTGTGTGCAAAGCATGCCAGGTTGGGGGGAGAAGTGACAGTGCTAGAAGTAAGAGATGGGCCCCACCCCTGAAAGCAGGTACCACTTAAGGACACTGTTTTCCATGTGGCGAAGGCCCCCGGAGACTGTGTATGATCCGTAAGAGAGGCTTTGGGCTGTTCTTGCTTGAATGCCTGCGTGGAAAGGTGAGGCCCTGGCTGCAAACGCGGCAGATTCCCCAGCAGGGAGGCTAGTGCACATCCCAGAGTCTCCCCCTCGGGCCAGGGGTTCCTGCGTCGGCCCCCACGAGCCACCGAGGGAGCGAGTCCATGAAGAAACAGCCGAGGGGCAGAGGCAACCAAGAAGGCGAGAGTTAAACAGTGCCGGAAGTTTTTATTTTAAACTAGTATTTGTTGTAGAATAACGTCTGTTACCTGATGAATAAAACATCTCCAAGTTTAGAAAATACTCTAAACCTATTTTGCTATAAATGTCACTCATTAAAACCTAGAGATACAAGTACAGTAACTACAATGAGAGTCATGCCCTACACCTCAAATTGTGGAATTTTTAAGAGAAATACGTTCTCTGTAGAGCGCGGAACGAGCTGCTCATCTTGTGTGGCTATGTGGGCGCCTTGCTGGCCATCAGGAGGCGGTACGAGAGCATCGTCCCGGCGCTCTACGAGTACACCAGGTAAGGACAGTTCTCTCCTGCGACAGAGCGCGAAGCCCTGTCACCAGGACGGAGTCACCAAGCCGTGCCTGCCGCCTGCAGCCGCTCACCGGCAGGCGGGCGACACCTTTGTAGCAGCCTCGGCAGCTGTACTGAGAGGGAGTCGGGCTGTGAAAAGGGGTCCTCGTTCTAGCTGAACCGCAGGGGTGGGCCATCTCCTGTCACGACGGGGAGGTCGCGCCCCAGGGCCCTGCCGCCTGCCTGGGGGCACTCCCTTGGCCGGGAGTCTTCCGTCTTTTGCTCGGATGCTCTTGGCTCCCTCCCTCCCTCCGGTTAGAGCTCCCCGTGGTTACCCGTAGCTTCCAGCCTCTGTGCGCTCCCTGCACCCTAAGCTTTCGGTTAGGAGGTGAGGGTGCAAGGAGAGCGGCCGCCAAGGGCGAGACCATCTGAGGCAGGAAGGAAAGGCCCTCGGGTGCCCTGCCTGGCCCCTCAGGCCTGCACTGTGGCACCTACTTTTCAAAGAAGAGGGACTGGGTGTTTCGCTTTCCAGCCTCTTCCGTAGAGAGCAAAGTAAAGGGGTTTGAGAAGCAGCCAGCTCACAGCTTCCATTCAGGCGCCACCTGCCTGCCCAGCCCTCTGTTTCCTACCAGCTGCTGACCTTCCCCATTATGCTCAAAACTTGTCGTCCTCAGACACAAAACCCACGGTGCCTCCCCTCAAAACCCATTTCCCATTTCCATTTGCCAGCTGGTGAGTGGGCACCTCCCGAACGTGCCGGGAGCCTGTGGTCCAGTGTTCTCTCCAGCGCCCTTCGTGGGCACAGGATTCAGAGGAGCCAAGCTCTCTTGTCCCTGGCGTCTCCCCTTGTCTGGGGACGGGCTTGTGTGATGCAGGTGGGTGTCTGCCACCCAGAGCAGACCCAGGGACGGCAGGAACCGATGCTCGGTGCCCAAAGAGAGGAGAGAAAACTACGGGGCAGGCCACGTACCGTCAAGTGCCAAACTGCAGGCAGGGAAGCCACATTCTTTAAGGAATTAATTTTGGAGCTAGCCACATGGTCAATAATTTGGGGTTAAAAAAACAATAAGCTACTAACTGATTTGAGATAATATTACTGAAATGTTAGATGTGTGTGGGGAGGGGGAGGGTATTTATACCTTTTTCCCACCAATTCTTACCATGTCCCAGCAAAACCATGACAACTAGCCGGAGCAGCCATAAAATGTGAATTACAGAAAGGCTTGCTTTTCTTTCCTTCATCCCTAAGGTCTCATGTTCTTTTTCTTTTTATCTCTAGAACAGCTTTTACTTTTATTTGTTTTAAATATGTTTTTACTGATTTCAGAGAGAGGGAGGGAGAGAAACATCAAGGATGAGAATCATTGACCGGCTCCCTGCTGGGGATCGAGCCCACAGCCTGGGCCTGTGCCCTGACCGGGAATCGAATGTGACCTCCTGGATCCTAGGTCGATGCTCAACCGCTGAGCCATGCCCGGCCGGCAAAACAGCTTTTGTTTTTAAATTTCCGTTAACTAGTTCCTTGAAAAGCACAATGAGTTTGTAACTTACCATAGAAGCGTGGGCTGGAATCCTTTATCTGAAGCCTCCTAATTAATAATAATTCTGCCCGTTTTCTGCACACGGACGGGACGGTCACGGCTGTGTCCCTGCCTGTCTCTGACACGTGTCTGTCAGAGGACCGCAGTGAGCACTTCCATCCCTGGGGCTGCTCCCCGCCTGTCCCCCAACTCGCATTTCTGGAGCAGACGCCCTGTGCCCGGGGAGCCGCGAGTGGCTGTTCTCAGCGGAGCTTGGCTCCTGCACCCATTCTCCACACAGCATGCGGTTCCTTTACCCGCCCCTCGCTCCCTCAGGCTGTCACCCAGCCAGCAGCTGGGACCATCTGCGAGTGGCCAGGACACACAGGCTAGGTGCACAGTGAGCAGGCGCGTGCACACACATGCACGCACACGCACACGCACACGCGCGCGTTCAGAATGCACGCGTTGGTGCACAGTACGGGTTAAACCCAGAAGCGCGGTCGCTCGAGGTTCCCTGCTCTTGGGGCGTCAGCCGCCAGACGCCGTCTTTCCGCCCTTCCAGCCAGCTGCTCAAGCGCCGGGAGGTGGCCGTGCCTCTGACCATCCCACGCCTCTCTGAGGAGCTGGACGCCTGGAGAGCGTGCGCGCGGCCCACCCCCCGGTGAGTGGACGTGACATAAAAATGGGGACACAGGAGGTGTGACTTCAGACCGTGGGCGGACTCGGGCAGAATGCGGCTTGTATTGTTCGTCACAGCAAAACAGTGGGTCCTGGTTGGCTTAGAGATGCTCAGTAACAGTTTACGGTGCGCCTCTTTTGTTGTTGTTAATGCTCACCTGGGGGGGGGGAGACAGACAGACAGACAGACAGACATGGACGTGAGAGAGACATCGATTGGCTGCCTCCCACACGTGCCCGACCGAGGCTGGAGATCGAACCCACAACCCAGGTACATGCCCTCGGCCAGAAATCGAACCCGGGACCCTTTGGTCCCAGGGTTGACGCTCTCACCACTGAGCCAAATGCTGCCTTTTGAAGTCCTTTGTTTTACTGTAAATCGAGTCTGAGGCTGGTCCAGCATCATCTCCAAAGAGGCACCGGGGACTGTTTCCATCTAAACCTTAGTAATTCTGTGATTCTACAAAACTGAAAATGTGCTGTCGGTGGAAACACAGGTTGTTGGGAGACCCTCCACACACGCCCCCGTCGGAGTCGCAGAGGCTGGTCTACGCAGCTCTGCTACGGAGACTGGGGGAGGAGCCGCTCCGAGGAATCGTGGGGCCCGACTGCGTGACCGGGTCCCGCCTGCCCAGTCACTCCGACGCTCACATCTCTTGTCTCACAGGGTTGAAAATCCAGGTAAGTCTGATGGCGGACAGGCTACGCATTTCCATCCTTTCATTTGTGTCGTCACTTTTTGAAATGTGATTTTAAAATAAGCGTAACCTGACTAAGAGGAGTTACCTATGAGGAGGCCTGAGGCCCAGCAAGAATGTACCTCCTGAGGCTTCCACAGTGAGTGTAACTGGTCTCTCTACTTAAACTAAAGCAATTCATGTAATAGGCGTGCTCAGCGACAGGTGATATGTGTACTTGGTAACCAATGTTTTAAAATACATATAGATCTTATCCTTAGGGAAATTAAATAAGGGAGCCACGCAGTAATCAGCAGTGACAAATTATTATAACAGGTTAAATGTAACTTTATAGTCTCCATTTGTATTTTATAAACACAAAGAAAGTGATTAAAAACTCTTAGATGTATAATATGTTATTAACACACTGTGCATGTTCTTATATTGACTTACTGAGATTTCCAGCAACTAAATATTATTGGGATCAGTCACGAGGGATGGACCATTCCCAAAGAATGGTCCCTAATGTCCAATCCAGGTAGTTGTGGGAAATGATTCCCGGGCCTGCCAGTGTGCCCGAGGGAGGCCAGTCCCCCCAGAAGAGAGAGAGGCTTTCGTCATCTCAGGGCCAGGGCCAGGTGTAGGTGACCCCAGGAAATAAAGCTGAGTCCCCGTGAAATGCTCATGGAGACTACAGACTGGATGGATGGAAAGGGCCCCAACTCCCAGTAATAGTCACACACTAGTGATTCCTTTCTTACATTTCTGATGGAATGTGGCTGATTACAGTCCTAATACTAACATGCCAGGACAGCAGGGAAAGGGATTTTGGGAGATTTCCACCCAAAATAAATTACATGACCTGTTACTAAGGGAAACCCTGGCTCGTGTACACGTGACACTGCAGACTAGTTAAGTCTTCAGGACACAGCCACAGGCAGGGCACACGGTGTATACAAGCTTGTCCCCGACTTAGTTCAGAGATGAACCAAAGCGGGAAGCCCAGTGGCTCCTAGACTGTGTCCTCAGCGCCCCTGCGCTCCGGACGCCACCTCTAGTGCTTGCTGCCCTGGCACCCCGATCTCCCGCCTGGTTCGTTTTCTCCTGCGGACAGGCCAGCTGGGCCGAGAGGTGTGCAGTCCAGCCTCTGCTCCCCAACCTCGGGGGAAGGATCTGAGGCGCACAGGGCCGACCGGGTGGAGTGCGGCCTCCCAGGGCATTTCTACCCCACGGAAACCAGCGGGTTCTGGTTAGAGCTGTGGCACCTCAAGTGCCTGTGAAGAGCAAGCTGTCTGCTTCCTCCGATGGATTTCCCAAGATCTAGAAATAATTTGTCAACAAGCTGTGTCGTTTGAAATCATGATGAAAAGCCTGGTAACTTTAGAACATAAATAAGAAAGGTTCTTGTGTTTTTTAAATCATGCTTTTCCTTCCAAGAGCTGGGACATACATACAGATCGAAAGTGGTTTTGTTGTTGTTATTGTTTGTTTGTTTGCATGTAGTTCTTCAGAACTGCCCTTGACATACAGAATACCTAATATAACTAAATTACAAGCATGCTGGAAAGTCCCATGACTGGCATGATTTTAAATTATACAGATTCATACATAGCAACATGTTTCATCTTCCAGAGAGCAGGGTAGAGCTTCTGGCTGTCTGATAAAAATAGTAAAGTATGTTTAAGGCTATGACTAGGCATACAGGCCTTTATGAAATGTTAACTTTGTAGTAGTTAATATAGCAACCATAGCTGTTATCATTGGTAGCACTACTGAATTTAAAGAACTCAACTTCTAAAACGAAATCCTGTTTTAATTTTAAAACATTAAGATGTTTTAAATTGTTTCTATATTAGTGGCAGTTCAAAAAATCAAATTTTTCTCATATTTCTTATTTTTAAATTTTTATTGAATTTATTGGGGTGACATTGATTAATAAAATTATATAGGTTTCAGGTGTACAGTTCTATGATAAAACATCTGTATATTATGTTTACCACCCAAGGTCAGGTCTCATATTTTTTAATTCCTGTCAGCACTGCCTAATTCCACTGGTGCTTTCCATCAGAGCGACTGGTTCTGTAGGTTTAAAACAGGATGCAGATTTATAATCGCACCTTCTCTTTCCTCGCCGCTCCGTGCGCAGGGCCCCGCGTTTTTCCTGGAAGACGGGAAATCCGCCATCTCCCAGAACGATGCTCTGATGTGGGCCAAGGTGAACCCCTTCTCGCCGCTGGGGACCGGGATTCGGCTCAGCCCCTTCTGACAGAGGCTGCTCTCCGGCCTGACGGGTTTGGAAGACCCTTTACCGGTTAGTATTAACTTAGCCTTTGTTGCCCAAGAGCTGAAGGTTGGGAGGAGGAGAGGGGAGGTGGGAAATAACGTTAATTTTATAAATTAACTTCAAAAACGACTTTTGAGAAGAAATAGGTGTCTGCTTTATAAAATATAACAGCCCTATCTGGGAGGAAGGTCATATTTAAATTACAAAGGACCGAATCATCTGAAAGAGCATACAGACTCTCACAGAGCGCGAAGGTGTGCAGGTATTTATTGCTGGAACAGTGAAACATGAAAGAGCGCGACAGGGACGGCGCTTCGCTGCGTGGGGCCCAGGGACACTGAGGCCTGGACTCTCACGGGCTCCGCCTCGTCCTCCAGCCGACCGCCCGTAAACCGCTGGTGTAGCTCGTCCTTAATAAAAGGCTGCAGGTGTAAGTTTAACACATGTCAATAAATAGATACACAGTCAAAACACTTTTTAAAAAGCTCCTCCCCCGAGGATATTTTTTTAATTGATTTTCAGAGAGAGAGGAAGGGAGAGAGAAACAGATCGGTTGCCTTCTGTACCAGCCCCGACCAGGGAGCAAACCTGCACCCTGGGTGTGTGCTCTGACCGAGAATCGAACCCGCAACCCTTCCGTGTGGGGGATGATGCTCCCACCCACTGAGCCACTCGGCCAGGGCTCACAGTACTTTTGAGGTTTTTTTATGTGTGTGTGTGTTTTAATAAAAAAACATTACCAAGGTTTCTATCTGAAATTCAGATGTCCAATTATAAAGGAATCGGTTATATGAGCATGAAAAAGTGAGGGGGCTGAGAAACAAAATGCAGGCGTATCTATATGAGCATTTGCATTTGATAATTGACTGTGTTAAAAGAGATTGGGTGTGTATAGATATTAATTTTGATTAATGCATTTAAGTTTGACATAATCTCTAATCAATTTATATTAACTAACAGAATTTATTTGATGAAAATTACTTTGAAGTAAATTTCTGTAAGTAAGTAGGATATTAGTTGAAATTTTGGATATATCATGTAAATTCAAGTTTTTAAAATATTTATTGAAAGAATAAAGCCGTAAAATAAAACAGCCGGAGGAATGACTGTAAGTACCTCGGCTCGTCTAGAATTCTGACTTTGAAATTTATGAAATTAACGTGTACCAGGGGAACTAGTACTTTGACGCTCAGGTCGTTTTACAGAATTTGTAATTTAAATGTTTTTGTCTAACTAAAGAGTGAGCTTATATAACTGGAATAGTTGTGGTTGTTATTATCTTTAAACTTGTTGCATTTAAAATATTTAAAAATTTTTCTTAAAATGCTTCTTAAAACAGAAAATATATATCATGTACCTATCACATTGACCACTTCTAACTCCTCAAAAAACATTAAATTTCCTTTTATTAAAAAAAAAATTGATATCATAGAAGAGAATGTATGCAACCCAGAGATGCAATGGGCAATATAAAGTGTGTCTAGGAGGTATTTTTTAACCCTTGGTGATATACGTAACTCAGAGTTGTTGCATATATCTGCTAGAATTTCCTTACTAAAACTGACAGTCTAAGTTCTACTATATTTCTCTTTATTTTGTTTTCAATAGAGTAAGAAGTTTATCTTTTGTGCTTTAATTACTTCAAAAGATATCATTGAGTTTAAATTATACATATATAAATAATCACATTTTATATTTTAATGAATGCAGGAAAATAATATTTTTATGTATACAATATGAAAAAAATCATGTAACTCTTTAGCACATGAAGACAAGAGAGAGTAACCCAAGTTCTGTCTGAAATCTAAATTGTATTGATTCAGGTATAATTGTTATGCTTTGACATCTAAAGGTTCTATACCTTAATATTAATTTTAACCATTAATTCTTTGCAGAATTATAAATGTCACTTGACTATGTCAATCTGTATATATTGTACCTTAATACGAAAAACAAAGCAGTTTTTAAAATTTATAAAAGTATTATTCATGTTAGATTTCATTTGCATGAAAACCCAACAAATATTATGAGCTTATTTTACTATTTGAAGATGTGCATGTTACCAACAATGTTGACAAATAATTTTTCAAGTTGAAACCTGCCTTTATGAAAGAAGTCTCACTAGACAGTGAAAAAAAAACACTGGAAAAATATTTTGCCTATAAAATTACCAGGTGGTTAACAAAATTGCAATATCAAAATATAATTTATGTCTTGTGAAAATCTCTGATTTTTATGTCAATCAGTTAATGAAACATATATATTCCCACAAAATCATTCAGATGTGTTCAGGAACATGGTTGCATTACAGAAATGACCGTGTTTTGTTTGTTCCCTATAATAGGAAAATGGACTTTTTGTGGTCTTCAGAGGTATTCTGAATATAGTAAAAGCCTCACAAATTATTTGTAAAATCTGGTATTTCATATTTAGTGCAGTAGTGATACAGAAGTTTTCTTTATAGTCCACTCTTAGTAAGTGCTTATTGTATCTTATCTTTGAAACATTTGCACCTAAATAATTGAATTAGCACTTTCATGCTGAATTTGCACACCATGTGACTGTATGTGTAGTTATCTAGATTTTTATATATGCATGTCTCTCAGGTCCCCTGACTTTTAATAACTACCACAGTGAAAGCCGGACGTGACATAGTTAACTGCTAAGATGAGCGTCAGTCTTGTCCCTAACGCAGCACTGAGAGCACTGTTTCCCCAGGGTCACTGGAGGTGTGAAGGGCTGAGCTGACCATCAGGACTATTACCCTACCTGGAAACCTAGAAAATCACTCCACTGGATGGTTCAGAAGGAAGAGTCTCCACTTCTAGGAAACAACTACGATAAACCCCATGATCAGTACGGAGGAGAAACAGGGCTTGCTCATGACCTGAACAACCTGCCACAGAGGCCTCTGTGGCCGTGATAAGCATTCTGCCCATTGACCGACAGGGTCCTTTCCTGTGGAGGCTGCTGGAGCTCCCGGGAAAGTTCGTTGCTTCCTTCTGACAAGGAGGCCTCGTGAGCTAATGGCCTTCCCGAGATTTGCCTCCGCGTTGGCTTCTGGGACACACTCATCCTCCAGGAGTCCTTGCAGGTGCCTCCTGTGACCATACCTGCTGTCCTCATTTATTTATTCACCATGAACTGAAGCTCACAGACCATTTCACTTTCACAGCCCTCCACAGGTCCCACACAGGCCCTGGGGACTTGCCACAGGCCCTGAGGGATCGGCTTTCTCAGGAGATTGAACACAGTCAAGAGGACAAACAAACAGATTTGACTATATCCAGGTCTAGTTCTTTCCCCAGCTGACTTGTTCCTAAAATCCCTTCCTAAGGAACTACATTTTATGGGTTAAATATGATCCCCACAATCTTCTAATTGAGATTTGTCCCATCAGAGTGCAAGGCAGCAGGTGAAGAACCCATAGCTGGGAAAGACGTGCATTTGGACTAAATCCTTGACCTCAGATAAAACCAGATTCTAAACACCTCCCTGAGAAGTCATCTATTTCATCCGCTGTTTTTAACTCCTTTTACTAAATATGCTTTACCCAAAAATGTAATCTTAAACAAGGAAGTCTCTGGAGGTGGAAATTCTAGTGAAACTGTACCAGCCTTTAGAAATGCAGAAAAAGGGATAGTTTAGCTGGAAACTGAGCGGCATACCATGGGATTCGCCACCAGTCAAGGTCATCTTGGAGGGCACAGGGGACTGTGGATGAGATGGCATAAAAAAGGGCAATTCAGTGGAAGGAAGTTCCAAATATGAACGTAAAATTACCAAAGTATAGGAAAGATCATCAGCCTTTCAGGATATCAGCCTGCTTCTGTTTCCCTTCAATAGAAGTCTGAGGGATGGCAGCAACCAGTAGGAATATTGAGATTGAGGTAAATGGATTGCGAAACACCAGAACCAGTTTCTAAGTAAAGCATTTTCCTTTCCACAATTTGGTATCAACAGGAAGGATGCCCGTTTTTAAAAGTTTACCGCTATTTATGGAAGTGGGTAAGATTGTCTGTGGGCCAACGTATAAGAAAAATCACTCAGAATAACTTACTTTATTTATAGATGTGACGTGTAAATAGTATCAAGCAAGCTAGTAACTCTTTTCATTTCTTATGAGGAAAATACTGCGCAGTAGGTTCACTGTTCCTGCCAAGTCTATGAGAGAGAACTCCAGCTCGTCATGGTGAATTCTGGTGAACTGTACTTTAAAATTATTTGTGCTCATTTGGTACTAATTAACTTGACTGTGTTTTCAACAGTACATGGCACAGCTGTTTTTAATAAATGGTTGTTGACTGCAATTGAAAAAAAACACATGTTCTTCAGCCCAGTTATGGAAAAGACACCACTTTAATTTGCTTATCATTGAACAATAGGCCAGAGCAGGTGATTCTGTCCCTTTAACGTGGCAAGAGGTGGTGGCCTCCCTTCTTCAGACCCCACAGGTGCTTTTTACAATTCCTTTTCCTGATTGGTGACAGGCTCCAGCTCAGATTCAGAGGAAGGGCTTCTAGGTTGCTTCACATAGATTGTTTTAACTGAATTGCAGATGTTGCCTATATTTGCTGGAATATTTAAATAAAATTAAAGTTAATTGTGGTTATTAAGTATTTATGCAACCAGTGATGTTCCTAATGTATCGAACATACCCACAATGATGGCCACAGGATGAGACAGGCTCCCCTAAATGCCTAGAATATTGAGGGCATGCATTGAAGAAGTCATAAATAAAATATCTGAATGTCACCCACCTCCCAAAAGTCATCAGTGGTGCCTAAAAATACCGATGGCTTATTCCGGTGCATCTGATCCTGAAAATGACTCAACTATTTTTAAACATTGCTTCATAAAGCAGCTGAGGCCACAGAGCCACGGTTCTGACAGCTTTGATCTGGCGCACACACAACTCTTGCTCCGGTTTCTGAAACTCGGGCACGCCGAGCATGCAGCCCGGCCTCCGGGCCCTTCAGGTCACTACATTCTCAAGGGAGGGTCCCGTCCCAACTAAGGAATCTGTATCCTCTTGGCCCATCATTTTGCTAACTCTGGATTTAGGTAAACCAACAGAGGCAGTTAAATGTTAAAAAAAGAAAAGGAAGGCAATGACCTGTCTTAGAACTAATGGCAGAATACAGGGTCAGTGCCTGCAGTCTGGCGCCCGGGCCGCTCCTCCCACTCCCCCTGGCCTGGGCTAATCACTGCGCTCTCATCACAGCAGCGGAAATGGACTCCCTTTAGCCAGTTTGGGGAAAACATCATTTAAAGCTTAGCGAAACAGCTCTCAGCCACGCAACTGCCAAAGTCAGATCCACCACTTATTAGTTCCGGTTTTGCCTACATTGAGGGACTCCAAGTCCTGGGGGGGAGAAGTCGAAAGGTCAAGCATGGTCCCCCCATCTGATCAGCCCCGTCCAGTGAAGACCCCCAGATGCTGGCCAGCCAGTGCGAGAAGGGGAGACAAGGCCATAGAAGTGGGAGGAGCCCTGAGGACAACTGGGAGGAGTTAATTCCAGCAGTTCACACGTCATTCAAAACTGGGGAGGAGGAAGGAACGGGGTGGAACGGGTCATTGGGGAGAAAAAGGGACATCTGTAATATTTTAAACAAAAATAAAATTAAAAAAAAAAAAGAACCCATTCAAGGAGCCCTGACAGGGAGAAGTGGTCGAGAGCAGTGGCCTCGGTTGGCTGGGGGTGAGCGCTGTCGGAACTGAGGACGGGACAAGGGGTGTCTGAAACGGGCTGATGGGGGAGTCTGGGTGTGCGCGTATCTGTGCCTAGGACGGGTCGCCATCCATGCTGGAGAACTGAGCTTTCAGCTGCGTGCACGAGTTTCACCCACTTCACACCCACCCACTTAGGGATAAAGCAGCACCCAGGGGGCTCCTACAGAAGGCGGGGCGCCTGGGTCGGGAGGCTCCCCGATGGACCACAGGCCCGTCTACCTGTCCCGGGTACAATAGCAGCCAACCAACCGCTGCGCGTGTTAGACTGGGTTGCCGAGACCAATGTCTTAACTCCTACAAATTTCAATGAACAAAAGCAGAACAAAACAAAATCTATGTTAACAGGTAAGAAGTTCAAAATGAAACAACAGCAAAAACACTCACGTAAAACAGGAAGGACCTTTTGCTTTGAAATCACTGACTTAGGTTTGTGCCGAGAGGCCTGGGCAGAGAGGTGGTCGAGAGTAACTTCTCCCACGGTCGGTTTGACGTTGAACCAGCCTGTAAAACAGACACAAACATTGTTCCTGAGGAATTCACTGGTCGTTGGCAAAAAAAAGCACCATAATTTCAAATTCAGCAGATTACGTAGACATCTGTTTTGTCTTGTCCCTAAGAGTGGTGTGAATTCGAAGGCTAATGACCCCTCCCTGCATTGTCCACCTCTCCCATTCACAAAATAGATGCTTTAAAAAGTTCCCTTAAGGAGGTGTCTCTCTGTTCCTATTTGTTTTTCGGTATGTGCTCATCCAGTCATATGTATACAGAAAAGTGAACAGACCCCGTGTTTACAACTTGATGAGTTCGGGGTGAATACACCTGGGATCCATCACACATACGATTCAATAGCAAACGAAAGGTAGGACCTGATCAAAAGTTGGGTGAGGACCTGAACAGACATTTCTCTAGGCCAGCAGGTGCATAAGAAGGTCCTCAGCATCATGATTCGTGGTCACTAACCCGGGAAATGCAGATCAGAACCACAGGAGGTATCATCACAGACCTGTTAGAATGACTATTATAATGAGAGGAAAGACTAAAAGTGCTGTGAGGATGGGGTGACTGGACCCACCTGAGAAATCCGGCTTAAACTCCTTNAGACTAAAAGTGCTGTGAGGATGGGGTGACTGGACCCACCTGAGAAATCCAGCTTAAACTCCTTCTTTCAGGGTTTGTAACTTTAATCATGTATGCAAAGGCTTTTTTTGCCTTGAAATGTGACATATTCACAGGTGCCAGGGATTAGAGCATGAAAAACGAGGGACAGTCTGCCTACTACAAAGTTGATAAAATCAACTAAATTAAAGTTAAGAGACGTAACTGAATGAAACTAAGAATAACATAAATGTAATGCATAGATAAACTATTCTTCAAAATCAAGGAAATCATAACCAAGGCAGCAGGACAGTGGTTACTCTGCGCAGGGAGAGTAGAGAAGGCTGTCAGAGGACACGGGAGAATGTGAGGGGATTGCTAGCATTCTATTTCTTAAATTAAAAAGGGTACACAGATGTATATTCATTGTTATTGGCCTTTTAATTAGACATAGGCATTATCTGCATGCCTATATGACACACTTCCCAGCAAAATTTTAATGTTTGAAAACATACCAAAAATCTGAATGTAAAATTTTACAAGATGAATAACCTGAGTTCTTTCTCTACTCATAAATTCGTAAGTAGAACCTATCAAAGAAGAGAAACAACAAATGCCAGGAGATGGAAGATTGGACAGAATAAAGGGAGGGCAAAAGCCAAAAAATATCTACTCTCCTAGTTAGTGAGGGAGTTCACATTGCTACTCCCCTCTCCCTCCAGGGACTAGAGAGAGAGATGGCTCTTCAGAAAATTGGGTTCGAAAGAGAGAAACCCTGCGCGGCCGAGTGGCTCCATTGGCCTAGTGTCGCCCTGGGCACCGGGAAGTCACTGGTTCGATTCCCGGTCAGGGCCCATCGGGGGTTGCCGGCCCAGTAGGGCGCATGCAGGAGGCAGCAGATGGATGGTTCTCTCTCATCGGTGATTCTCTCTCTCTCTTCCTCTCCCTGAGATCAATTTTAAAGGGGGGGGAGGGAATCCTAATGACCTACACCTGCCTCACTCCTGAATGGCTTGATGGCTTGGGTGCCACCGTAATGAGGAGGTCGCTAAGCGTCTGGCATCAGGGAGATAAGGCTCTAGGATGTGAGTGGTGTCCTGAATAAGTGTTAAAAAAGAAAAAAAAAAAAGAGAAAAACTCATTGCCTCCNCTAAGATGTGAGTGGTGTCCTGAATAAGTGTTAAAAAAGAAAAAAAAAAAGAAAAACTCATTGCCCCTGGAAAGCCTCCGTGGGTTGCCCCGCCTGCCTGGCCATCTGAACACCAGCAGCTCCTGGGAAAGGGCAGCCCTGGCCAGCGCGGAGCATCGAGGGGTCAGCACTCGAGGGGTCAGCACTCGCGTCCCCCCAACTCCAGCTGACGTGTGAACTGAATTCCCACAGAATGTGACATGAACAGATTCACTAAGATTTGCTAGAAAGAAAAGTGTCTATGCACCGTCAACCTCTGCTTTCATCAAAAAGAAGGAATTGTGACATAAACCACCCCGAGGATAATTCTCTCCGCTGCTAGCACAAGGGAGTGCCTGCCCTGAGCCGGAGGGCGGCAGACACCAGGCTCTCCCCTCCCTGCCCGAGGGGCGCGCACCAGCCGGGCGAATTCAGCCGAGTGTTCCCGAGGGAAGCTTACTTGGATTCAACTTCCGGCTTAGTTTTCTCTGCAACATTTGTAAGAGGAGGAGGAAGTCGACTTTGAGCTCGTTGCTGAGCATGCTGGGGTTGCTCATTAGTTCCGATGACCTGATGTTGTCTTTGATGAACTTGGAGGCCGTGGACCTGGGCAGCAGGGGCAGCTGCATCTGGTAGCTGTAGTCCGTGAAATTCACAAGGTCATCCCGGACACACTTAACTCTGGGAATAAAAAAATAAAATACCGTCGACAAGCCACGTTTTAGAAATGAGATTTATATTATCAAAAGTTTCACATTAAATTGTATTACTAGAGCCCGGCCGGGCGCGGCTCAGCGGTTGAGCATTGACCTAGGATCCAGGCGATCGGGGTTCGATTCCCGGTCAGGGCGCAGGCCCGGGTTGCGGGCTGCAGCCGATCAATGACTCTCTCATCATGGATGTTTCTGTCTCTCTCTCCCCCTCTCCTTGCCTCTCTCTGAAATCAATAAAGATAATTTAAAAATAAATAAATAAATTGTATTACTAGAAAACTCCAAATAACTCACTCTCGATGTGTGAGCAGGGTGTAAATCTCCTGTATCAGTATTTCGGGCACTCCGGCCTTGCAATGAATTGTTCCATAGATTAGTTCTTTAGGCAGTCTAATTTTCTTTTTGGCCAGGAACTTTAACCGTAGAAAGAAAACATTTTCATCATACGAAGTTGTGTAAAAATGCTCAGTCGCTATGAATTCACTTTAACCCCCCTTTTATTGCTTTAATTTTCTGTGTAACATGCTAATTATTAAATAATATTAGCCAGCAAGTAAAAACCATTATATCCCGCTCCCATTGGAAATGCTGTTTCACAGGTAACTCTTGACCAGAACTTTAATAACCTGCTTTTTGATGTCAGGGGCGAGCTGCCAGCCCAGCAGCATTACTTCCCTGCAGTCACAGACGTGCAGGAGCCCAGGACAGGGGCCCAGGACAGACAGGAGCCCAGGACAGGGGCCCAGGACAGACAGGAGCCCAGGACAGACAGGAGCCCAGAGCAGGGGCCCAGGACAGACAGGAGCCCAGGACAGACAGGAGCCCAGGACAGGGGCCCAGGTCAGACAGGAGCCCAGGACAGACAGGAGCCCAGGACAGGCAGGAGCCCAGGACAGACAGGAGCCCAGGACAGCAGCTCAGGACAGGGGCCCAGGACAGGGGCCGCCTTCAGAACACCAGCCGGAGAGCTGGAAGGGTCAGTGGTCATCTACCTTTTCCAGCTGGGCCCAGTTATCCAGCTTGACCTTTAAGGAAGTTCCGTTCTCAAAGGATGACAGCTTGAGGTCCCAGGGGTAATATATGGTGAAAATCTCCGCGACCAGGAAGCCGTTGGAGAAGTCCCTGGGCCCCGGGGAGGGAAACTGCATGTAGCCGGTCACTCCCACCGTCTGTGGTTGGCACCCATCTAATTCTGTCCTCACAGCCGCCCGCGCCCCGCGTCCCCACCGAGCCCGACGCCCGGCGCTTCTGCACCGCCCAGCGTGTCTGTCCGCCCGCTCGCGCCTAAGCCTCGGGACGGACGGACGGACGGCGGGAAG